TTGGTACTGCGGATTCGCCGCAGCTGCTCTCTGTTCCATTCGTCTTCGAACTCTTCCGATCCGATGAGGGTGCCATCAGACTGACACACTCCTATGGTATACTCTAGCATTCTGGATCTCACCCCACTCATCGGCTTTGTGGCCAGGGTCGGCGGGCAAAATCTCGTAGAGATAGGCTTCAAAGTGAACATGTTGCGAGTTCTGAGATCTTGCACCCATAAATATGCTATATCGATATGTTTCAAACGTCCCAGACCAATACGATCGATGAATGACCTGCACGAAGACGAGTCTACTCGGTGAGCAAGGTGCACGCTGTTCTCACACGCAGTCTCTAAGAGCCTTTTCAAGAAAAGCCCTTCTTGAATGGAGTACAAGTTCCCGTGTACCTCACTCTCGCAAGAGGAAAGCGAGATACTCTTCTGCCTCTTGTTGCCCACGTGCACCGCATTCCCGTTTAAAAATATAACTGAAGCGTTGATGCTACGCCTGTCGGCTTCGCCATCCCACGAGGCGTCAGAGATTGACTCTATGAGGTGACCATTCTCAAAAGATTTGGAAGCATCAGCTTCCGGGCCTCGCTCAGAACCAAGATTCCCAAGCCAGCGCTGCTCAACGGTCTTGCCAGGATTGCATGCACTCAAAGAAATGCCACGCTTGGGATGCAGCTTGAGATATCTGACGAGGTGTCGCAAGAGATGCCACTCATGTTCTGTAGGGTTGGAAGTCTTCGCGGAGAGCAGCTTGATCGTGTAGAGGCATTCGGGTCTATCGGGGCCGAGGTAGAGGAGAATACCTATGGCCGTGCGGTAAGCAGGGGACTTTTCGGAAGATAGAGGTTTCGTGGACTTCCAATCGTTGGGGTTCATGGGGCATGGGGTCTGCTTGCCAGACTCTCTCTCGACACCGACCAGGTTGATCAGCTTCTCGACGTGTTTCCCATCTTGCTCAATAATAATGCTCCCGTTGACCCCCATGAACTTCCGCTTCAAGAAGCGACACTCACCCGACCAAGGCGTGCACGGCCCCTCAACACCGAACTGAAGATCTGCCTCATCGATCTTCTTGGTCAGGCACTGTACCCGTGCATCAAGTCCTAGCATTTGCAGGTCATCGATATATGTGGAAACGATCAAAATCTGGGGCTCATAGAAGAGGGCTGGGGCACCTTCAAAAGCACGAAGACCATCACTTTCAAGCACTGCCTTAAGCTTCTCATGCCAGTCTCGAGCACCTGCCCTTTGTCCGGGCAGATTGTAGTGCAGCCTGTACATGCGACCACTGTTGCTGACAATGTAGGTTTTCCGTCTCTGCTTCACTGTGAGGTATGCATCCTTGATGTAACCGCTGTATAAACGAAGCTGGGGATTACAAGAACAAAGTCCTGCAAGCAACCTCTGTGTAGAACTCAGCGAAGTCGGGCTATACAAGTTCTCCATATACGGCTGCAGAAAGCGAAACTCCTTGGCAACCAAACGTGACCGCCGCACCCAATCATTACGAAACCTCCAATCTCGAACGTTCTTGCAGCCTAAGCGATACATATCACTCACGTCCTCCTCGGGGCCAATCTCTTCAAGGACCTTCATTCCCAAGAGCCTTTGGATCTCTACCTCATCCATCTCAGCGTCCAATGCCGCAAGAGCGTCGGCATCAAGCACAGGAGGCCCTTCTTCGTACTTTCGTCTTTCCGCCTCCTGCAAGACACCCTCGATCTCCCAAGTCTCCTCGAAGATGTCGCTCCAATCTTCTGGAACGCCATGGAAGCCTTCCTCCTCGAAGTGGCCTGCGGGGAGCCCCCCCTCAGCCGAAATAACAACGCCGTCTTCATCCTCAGCGGCCTGGTTGACGCCGCCTTCAACGTCCATAGCATCAAGAATAAGCACCGTAGAAGAGGAAGAGTCCGTCCCAGAAGATTGACCAGGCAAGCTCACGCTCATCGATCCAACGCCCCCGGCCTCAGAGGAGGCAGGATCACTCGTAGCCTCATCTCCCGAACCAGCGTTCCCACCTTCCTCGGCAAACAAAAGGCTAGGAGCAGCTTCCACCAAGATCGGCAATCGATCTTTGTCCATCTTCTTCTTGCGCACAGGCACCACATCCAGCAGGAAATCGTAAGGAGTCCCCCGCATGGTCTTCAAAAGCTCCACATCGTAGGCCTTTGTGGGCCTCCGGATGGTTCTGGCAAAGTGGATGCCAGCACTGTCACCGATCCCATACAGATTTCCGATCCTCGCTCTGCCAAACCAAACACCTTGTCGCCAAACTTCTCCCTTGTTTTTGTTTTTCGGAAGGTATTGTGCATAAACCGCAGAGCCAAACGGGCAAAGCTTCTGGTCGTACTTCCGTCCATAAACTAACTCATGGGATGTATATCCATCCCGGTGAACATGGAACCTCGTCACCAGGAAGGCTGCATGCACAAACGCCCATGAATGCAGCGGGCTCCAAGTCTCGGCCTTGTGTCCTGTCCGTTGCTCTATTGTTTTCAGGAGGCAATTGCCGAGGTTGCGGACGGTCTGGTGATAACGCTCAGAACGAAGTGACCCATATACAGAGGAGTCCGGCCCGACGGGTGCGAGCTCTGTCGCCAAGTTGTTCTTGGCACGCACAGCAACAATGGAGTTCACAAGTTGTTTCATGGACGGTTCTGTGTCGTTGCTTAGGATCACTTTGGCATAGCCGAGAACCGTCAGCATGCCAACCACCTCTTCCACAGCATGTTTCAAGATTTTGCCTCCTTTGGAAGCAAGTGCAACTGCTACCACGTACTTGGATTGAGAGTCCACGCACACCAGGTGAGTGGCAAGAGGTGCTTCTTCCCCATCAGTCTTCGCAAATATAAAATCCAGAGAGATCACCGGGAATTCACGTTTGGGGCCTGCTGCTTCATTTTTATCTTCACGACTCCGGGCGGCTATGCAAGCTTCACACCAATCAGCACGAGGAAGGTGTGTGACTTCATGTAGTGCCACTAGCTCGGGACTTGGAGGAACGGGGAGTGCCTGAACTCTGGGATCTCGGGAAAACTCTGCCCTCACGGCTTCCGATGCTGCAACCTCCAACTGCAACTTGCTGTGTGCTACGTCTTTCTTCAAGCGCTGCGACACCGCTGACTTTGAGCCGTTCTTCGAGATGCCCAGAAACCGGCAACCAAGTCGAAGCTCGACTAATCTCAGTTAGACGCGTGCCATTCACCACCAAAGCTTCTTCATCATTCCCAAGAACCTCAACCGGAGAAGGCCCTAACATTGCAACCTCTCCTCCACGGCCATCTCCTTCAGGTTCGCCAGCTGCTCCGTCTGCTGGCTCATCAAGCTCAAGACCTGGGGCTTGCAAGGGTTCATTGGGAGGTTCATCAACGGAGCGTTCGCCACGTGGAGCGGGATCTTGCTGAAGTACTTTACCAAGGCCACTGGGCTCTATCGCTTCCTTTGTGAGGATTGTCAACACCTTGCTTTCTCAGGCACCGAAACCAAACTCAAGACGATCTTCCCAAACTTCACAGCACTCAAAGACTTCATACTTGCGATCACCGCGGCAAAGAAGTATGGTCCTAAACGGCCAATCTGAGCAACTAAAGCGACCAGAGCCATCAAAGGTGGTTTCCATGTTTGTTCCCATGTGCACTGGCTGCATGCTAGAATTCAAGCTCCAGCCTGGGGCCTGCGCATGAATCTCCAAATCATCAGAGATCTCGACCACCAACCTCACGGCCATAGCCAGGGGTGCCTGTGGAGGCGCCGGCTCGTGATCCGGCTTGGCGCACTCTCCTTCGACCCTCAGGATCCTCATGTAAGTAGCAAGAGAGTTCTTGCTCCAGTGCACTCCGAAGGATCTTTCGTCCTTTCTGAGGCACCAGCCCTGATGAGGGTTCAGCTCGCGCAACCACTGATCGCGAAGCAACTTTCCGAAGGAAAACAACGGCTGCCGAACTTGAGCTAGCACTGCCTTGTCACGAAATTGAATGACCTCGCCATCGGTACCCTCAACCTCGAAAATCACAGACGTTCGGACCTGGCCTTGGGGAATCCTGTTGCCCTGCGCATCTAGCAGGAACGAGCTCTCACGACTGTGTTGGCCGACGTCTGCAAACGAGCTGAGGGGCAAGACGGTGCAATCAGCTGCACTGTCCAAAATCACTTCATGCAAATTGGAGTCAGCAGCAACAGCACGAACATGGAAAGCACTCTCAGCCTCAAGCTCACCACTATCTGATAGTGGCTATCATCTGCTATCAGGTCCAGGGAACTGCAAAGCTCAAAAGAAAACTCATTCTCATTGTCGCTGCCTATGGTGAAGCACTGGACACTGCTGCAAGAAAGCTCGTCTTCGACTTCGCTGTCAACTTCTTGCACCATACGCACAGAGCCCAAAAACTCAACACCGAGCACCTGGTCCTCATCAAGCTGCTCGAGGTCCACCATATGTACTCGACGAACTTGCGCCTTTGCCGCAGGAGCGGCTGTGCTTGCTGTCGTGGCGGAAGAGGTCGTTGCCCTCGTCTGCACCGAAGCTGCGTCGTCATCCTGGTTCACCTGGTTGACTCTCGATCGGCACTCTGCTGCGTAGTGTCCTCGCTTGCCACACTTCCAGCACTCCACCAAAGACAAAGAGCCCTTAGGAGAGCCCTTCTTCCCAGGATCTCCTTTCTTGCCTTTCCCACCTTTCGCCGAGCCCTTGCCATAGCCTTTGCCGCCATCACGGTGCCAGCCTTTCTCATTGCCCTTCTTGCCGTACTCGCCCTTCTTACCGTAGTCGCCTTTACCGGGTTTGCCCTTCGAGCCTTTATCGCCTTTCTTGCCCTTGCCTTTGGCATCGGCAACACGGTCCACATCCATCGCGTCAGTATCAGTGATGAAGTCGCCGCCGAGGGACTTCAGCATGCTCTCTGCCGTCCACGTAGAAGACGTCCGCTTGTACTGCAACAGCTTCTCCCTCAAGCCCAAGTAGGTCGTGGAGTCGTTGACCTGAAGGTACATATAGCGCTTGACCTCCTGAGGCAAGCCAGCAAGGAGCGTAGAGATCTTGAGATCCTCCTGATACTTCTGCGTCGCCACAGCCTCGTACTCCGCAATGAGCCGTTCGTAGCCCAAGATGTACTCTAAGAGAGAAGTGCCCTCCTTGTGCGGTGGGAAGCGCGACAGCGCTTGCGCCAAAGCTAAGGCACGTGGGCGCGAGCGTGGTTGTAGTTCATCACAAAGCTGCCTCCAGACTGCATAGCCGTCCCCATTCTTGTTTGCACGAAGCAGCTTTAGCGGGCGACCCCGGAGGTAGCTCGCCAACACAGAGTAGAGTCGAAGAGCTCTCTCCTTCACATCAGCAGCATAATCAGCAAAGTTGACAAAGCTGCTGGCAGACTCGCACTTCTCAAAGTCGGAACGGTAGCCTGAGTCCTGAATCGTCATGAAGTTATGGAAGTGGAACGACCAATCGCCCCACTGAGCAGCCTCCTCTTCCAAAGACTTCGGATTGAAGAGGTCCGGGGCCTTCACATACTTCGTCTCCTTCCACTGGCTCGAGCTTTGGCCGCTCGAGGTAGTCGCCTGAGCCAGCTGCGCCACGGCAGCTGCCAACTGGTTCAGCACCACTTCGCCTGTCAGAACAGGCTGTTCACTTGCTCCCCCAGGGCTTTGTCCCCCCTGAGGAGCTTCACTTGCTCCTGCTGTAGGCGAAGCCATCCCGCAGCCGCCCAAGGCTCAAGAAAGCCCACAGCGCACGATAGCTGCCCAAGCGCTGGCGGCACAGCGCGGAGGCGGAACTATGCTGCTCAAGGCAGGCTCGGATCTACCACAAGGGCTACGGCTCTAAAGTTCACTGCGGATCTGGGTCCCGTCCGCTTTCAATCGCCCAGGAAGGCCTGAGCACCGACCGCACCACCACTAACCAACCAACCCGCGGATCTGGGTCCCGTCCGCAGCGAAAGCCTTTCGTCCAGACTCAAAGGAATGGATCGGTAGGCTCCGCTACCATAAAAACCCAAATCAAAACTTGCGGTCTCACTCTTTTGTGCAACTTTGAGCCTTCGGTACGATCACTCGTGATTGTCAAATCTGCTCTTAGCAGATACAGGTTTCAAAGGTAAAACGGGGGTCTAGGTCTAGTCAAAAAGATTGTTAGCTTCTCTTGCGACGCGGACCCGCACGCTCGCTCTCACAGCTTGGCTCGCCTGGCCAGCAGGCCTGTGCGAGGGCAGGCAAGCATGTGGTCGCGTAAAGCATCGACTGCTGCGCTGCACCCAGGGTTCGGGCCGCAAGCGCTCCCTCGCAGAGGCAGCGGCTGCCGAAACCAGCGTCGCAACGCGATTTTCTTCGCGGCAAGCGATGTGGCCGGCACTGTTGGGATCGCGGCGAGCCAAGCGCCTGCGTGGGCCCCGGCCTGGGACTGCAGCAATGCTTGAGAACTGGGCGACATGTCCGGCAGCAGCACGCGCTCGCGAAAATGGGTGTTGCGTGTGTGCGAAGCGTGCATCTGCCAACCATGTGGCCAGTCCCCGGCGCAGCGAGCGCGTGAGCGTGGATCACGTGCAGCACATCCGCCCAGGCCGCAGTACGCCGCGAAGGCTGTTCACTCTGCGGATTGCAAGCCCAGTCCGCCGTGGACGGCAGGCAAGGTGGCGATGGACCATGCGTTGTGTTGTGCAAATCAACGCCTCGTCGACGCTCCTACAAAACCGCAAAACCTCCCAGATGCCCGCATCATGCGCTTGCGCGTAACCTCGCGATGCGGACGGGGGCAGCGTGCGAATCGCGTGGTTCGCCGGGGGGCCGCGCACATGGAGAGCAGGAACCAACTGCACTGCAGGTCCCGGAGCAAGGGCAACTGTCGTAGGAAGCAGCGTTCTTCCGACATGCATTCCGCCGCCCACTGGCTGACGAAGTCGGTGTGCCCGATGGGCTTGCCGAGGACTTTCGGCCGGCGGCTTGTTGCCTCGCCAGACCGCATCGCCCAGCTCCGATATGCTCGGGGCGGGGGAACCTGCCTTGGCCGCCTTCCTTTTCGCGTTTTGTGCGGACGATAGCAGTTCCTCGCACTTGTCATTGAACGCGTGCCCATCGTGACATATCCTAAACCCGCACGCCATCGCACGCCTAAAAGCGAGTCCAATTTTTTTTCTCCAGACATTTCCTAACCGCGGCAATTTTTCTTAGGCAGCGGCCCCGGTCCTCCGACCCGTGTAACCCGCGGCCCAAGGCAAAATGAAAACCGGGGAAGGGTTCATAAGTATTCTGTTTTTGCTGGCTGTTGTGAAACGAGCTTGTGCGGCTCCCAGGAGGTGGGGTGCAGCCTGTGGACAATTCGTCCAAGCAACAGTAATACAACTGAGTGTGGTCCCTGGGCCCGCTAGTGCCAACCGAAGATATCTGGACTAGATTTTTTTTGTTTATTTTAATTCTGGCCCCTTGACTGGCAGCTCGTCGTGATGGGCTCGGAGGTGGGCGGACGCTGGACCGACCAGGCGCGCGCTTTCGTGCGGGACCTCGTCCGGTGGAAAGCTCACCAGGCCCCGCACGCACTCCGCGCGGCAGGATTTGAATTCATATTTCGAAACCATTTTTTGACGGGTCTTTGCAACTTTTCACCCGCGCGGGCGGCAATAAAAAGGCACCCCTACGAAGCCTCAGCTCCATCCAACATCCAAGCCAAAGATACAACATTTTGGCAGTTGCCTGCAGAATCTGCAGCATGCCCGGACATGAGCACCAACAGGGTCGAAACGAGTGGCTCGCCAATTTGTTGGTTTTGCGGTAAATTTTTTTCCCCCACACACCTCTTTTGCGTCCGTCCACTCCGCGGTCCCAGTGCACATGCCCAAAGTCCAAGCAACAGACTACGGCATGCGGCTGGCAAGGGGCAGCTGCTCGGAAGAGTCAGCCAAGACGTCGCTGAGGAGCGGCATGTCTCCATCAGCGTTGGCGGTGCCGGACAAGGGAAGGGAAAGGAGGCTGGCTGCAAAGGTCCGCGCGGCCGCAAAAGCCAGGAGCGCAGACCAGCGCAACAACGCAAACGCGGCAGTCGGGGAATGGTGCGGGAAGAACTTGCAGAGTTTGAATCATCAATGTTACGCAATTGGGATGACACAATAGTTCAGCTACAGGAAGAGGTTCAAGTTGAAACATCAGCGATGTTGAAGCTTGAAGAAAGGGTCTCGCGTTTGGAATCCACAGCGCTGTCCACCGCACAACAAAAAGATCTGGAAAGGGTATTGATGGTCAAGCTGGATGCACAAGAAGCAGACAATTTCGTGAGCACAACGCTTGCGGCTATAGATGTCTTGCAGGACGTTTGCTCCACAAATCCAAATCCAGCAGTGTTGTTTGTAGGCAGACCTTGCGTATGCAACGCCGCGAAGTACGGGCCGGCAGCGTCGTGGTTGAGCACGATATGGTTACCAGCGGCGTACGCTCGTACATCCTCCGGGGGCAGTGCACGCAGCGCGTACTGTGCACCAGGGCAGCACAGGAACACAACAACAGCCACGCAACCTGAGTGTCGGCAAGGAGCATCAAGCGGTCGAGGAGAACGTTCTGATACCCTCTGTTTGGCAAGCAAGGCCTCAAGGAATGCAGCAACGAACTCCGGTGTGGCAAGGGGTACACCAAGTGCCACAAAGCCACGCTGGGCGGAATCCAAGGCAGGGTTGCCGACCAAAATGTCGGTATCGGGCGCCAACAAATCAACACCATCAGGCTGGACCCCGGCGCTGTTCCAAACGCGGGCCCTACCAGGGTTCAGGCAGACTTGAGCACGATGCATTGCATGCCTCCGAACCGGTGGTAGAGCTGGAACGCACGGTGAGGTGGAGCCAGGATGTATGCTTCATCCACGAAGGCCAAGGCTTCTTTGTTTTTGTTTTTGGCACATTTTTGCGACAGCAGGACATGTCCGGTCGATCTGGTTTCAGAGTCTACCGTCGCCTACCAAAAGAGGATTGTCTCGGGGCATCACACGGCTAGCGCGGGGGCAGGCGGCTAGCCGGGACCTCTTCCAGCCACCTGGTGTCAGCGAGGACCTCATGCAGGTCGGACTCAGTGCCTTCGCTGAGCTCGGCAGCAGGAGGGAACTCGAGCAGCGAGGCGGCGTACGCTCGCTGCTACTGCAAGGAGGCCAGACCAGTGCGCTACCCAGGCGTTGATCCGGTCGGGCGGAGGTGGGCAGGCACTGCTTCGGCTCGCTGGCGCGCCGGAAGCCGAGTAGTTGGGCAGCCTCTGCACCGTGGATGTGTTTCGCCTCCCGCTTGGGGGCGCTTGGGGACAGCAGCGCATGATAGCGCATGCTCGACGAACGTCAGTTGATGCGACTCCCCGTTACTCGACCTGCAATGTGTGTGGCGGCTGCTCGCCATGGGGCCATGTGCGCCTCGCGGCAAAGTCAGCAGCACACGATGCCTCCAGAAGCTGCTCTCACGGCCTAGCCGTGTGGGAGCCTCGGCCTCCGCTTGCGTGCAAGAGCCGTTGACGACCTGCAGCATTCGGCGGTTTGATGCGGTTTGGCTTTGGCTTCCGCCGGGTCGGCCCCAGCAGCGCCCGCAAGCCGTTGCGGAGCCACAGGACCGGAGGCGGCGGCGCAGGAGTGCACGAAGCTCGTCCCGAACGGCCGGACCTGTCAGTGCTCGACAGCAGCAAGCAACCGAAGCAGCCCTGGGTGACTGCCCGCATGGGCTTCGCAAACTCGCAACCTACACTGCCATGTCGGTGTATGGCTGACGGTACCGACTAAGCCCACCACTACCATGAATGCGTCGGCGCGCCCGCGCACCGGCCTTTCGGCCAAACACGCATGGACACAGGACACAGGTCGCACGAGAGACGGTAGTAGGCGCAGAAGGCCAAGTTGCCAAAATAGTTATAATAGTTATAGTTGGCGCACATCACGGGTACAGGAGTCGATCTAGGACCGGACCGACTCCGCCTAGACCCAGTCGTCTACGAACAACAGCATGCACACATTGAATGGTCAAGGGATTGATCTGGTGATTCATGCTAGCCTGCTGCATGATGCAACCATCTCACAAGAAGGCATCCTCCCACACGACTGACCAAGCCAGCGTTCATCGTCTTACCCAAGTTTATTTCTTTGTGGTTTTTGGGCTGTAGCCAACTTAAAACCTCTTCCTTACCACAAAAACCGAAGAACCCACGGGCCGCCTCTTTTCCCCACGCAGGCCCATCTAGGGTCTGGGCTCCACATGTGGTCATCCACATGTGAACTCTGTGAACCTATGGAGCATCGATCAAGCTGGCTCACCGGCTGCCCTGAATGGCAGAAATATCCTGAAACGCCTACAGAAGCCAGGTTTTGATAAATGCTCCGTCGGCACCGAGACATCGACGCGCAAAGGAAACTTAACACGACACGCTTCTCTGGTTCGGGCCAGGTCTCAAGAATCTCTTGGTGAGGTCAGGACTGTCCGGAAACGCTGTCTGAGACTTACTAAAGCCGACCATACACCAAGCCAAGCAAGCCTTACAAATTGAACTTGCTCCCTCTGTTTCACTGACAGTGACGGGGTTTCCTTTGTCCGTTGAGTCCCAGGGCAACTGTCTCCACCGGATCGCACGACTCCTAAACAAGCAGTTGGACTAAGCTCTCCATGTTTCAAGACCTGCGATGCCAAACCGCTTGAACTCTGAGATCCCAAAATAGCAAAGCCTGTCACAGGCTGCCGAACTCGATGGTGACGAGGAAACAAATCCCAAACCTAAACGCCCACTCAGGCACATGTGTGTATATATATATATATATATATATATGTATACATGTACACATATATATATATGTGTGTGTATCTATATATGCATGTACATACGTGTGTATATATGTACAAATAGACATACATATGTATGTAAATATGTGTATATATATATATATATATACACACACATAAACGCATGTATGTATGTATGTATACACACATATGTATACAGGCATGCACACTTTGTATACAAGTAAACATCTACACATCTACATCGACGGCTGCATCTGCATCTACATCTACATGTACACATGCATACACAGACACCTACACATACACATACATGCATACATACATACACATACGTACGTACATACACACACATACACACACATTCACATACATACATACATACATACACACATGCACATACACAAATACACATGCATACACATACATACACATGCATACACATACATCATACATACACATACATACACGTACACGCACATACATACACATACATACACATGAACATATACCTACATGCATACACGGACATAGACATGGACCTACATGAACATAGATTTCGATACACACATATACATTTATACATGCATACATACATCCATTATTTACATACATACATGCATAGGGACAATATGTGTATGTGTGTATATATCCAAATGTAATGTTTGTTCAGGTCAGTGCCATCCAGGCCGGAGGACAAGTCTGCGGCTCTTCCGCTAAGCCGCTCCTGCCTGGGTCAGTGCTGGGGCTTCAGGGGTTGGGGCTCAAGGGGGGTTTGGGGTTCTGACCTCGACCTAGCCACGTTTGCCTGTGAAACTGCCAGTGTTGCTACAAGCATTAACGTTGCCGCGACAACGATATTGATTGAAAACATGGGCACTGACACTGTCAGTAGCAGTATCAGAAGCAGTAGCAGCACCAGCAGCAGCAGCAGCAGGAGCAGGGGCAGGGCAGTAGCCGGAGCAGAAGCAGGAGCAGCAGGAGCAGCCGGAGCGTTGTTGTTGATGTTGTTGTCGTTGTTGTAGTTGTAGTAGTCGTCGTCGCAGTAGTAGTAGTAGTAGTAGTAGTAGTAGTAGTAGTAGTAGTAGTAGTTGTTGTTGTTGTTGTTGTTGTTCTTCTTCTTGTTGCAGTCGTAGCACTTCGGTAAAAAAACAAAAATGTCAAGAATAATGAATGTGAATAGCAGTGGTTCAAGACCTCTCTGAGGCCCGCGCCGGCTGAGGCCTTGTCTCTGCTGCCACCCCGGCGGAGGGTCGAAGCGAAAGACCCGGGCAAACCAAATAACAAGGGCAGTCGACCCTAGGTTCTCTTAGAAGATGATGGCGACGATGATGGCGATGATGGCGGCGATGATGGCGGCAGCAGCGATGTTGATGCTGCTGTCGCTGGCCGTGGCAATGACGGTCTGCATGATGACGGTTGATGATGATGGTGATGACGACGGTCATGATGACGATGATGATGCTCATGACGCTGACGGTGTCGGTGATGGTGGTCCATGGTGATGGCGAAAGCTGGTCACTAGTCGACTTCCACTTTTGCGTTTCACTAGTCGCTTCTCTTCCAGATTATTTAGCTACAGATGCTGAAACAGTGCGATCTGCCATCGGCTTAGCTTTACGGCACTTTTGTCCATGACCAAGAGCCTCGCCGTTCTCGAACCGAAAAGTATGATCAGGTAGGCTACGATCTAAAGGACATTCTACTAGAGACCATCACCTGGACGGAAAAGTACCGCGGACATGCCACTGCCATCTCAACCCTACAGCACGGGGCTCAGGAGTTAAGTCAAAGCGTGGAGGGCTGCGGGGGTTGACTGCCCAAGTTGACTGTGCAACTGGGGCCGCCAGCAGGGTCAAGCTCTTTGTAGCCCAGACATCGCATGGCAGCTGCCCAAATTCGCAAAACGTCCCATGCGGGTCGCCGAAGGCCTCTCTGTTTGAGCTCTGAGACATTGGCAAGAACACATCCCCCGGCTTGAACCGGGTATCATCTCAGGACTATGGGAACATGGCGAAAGCTTTATGACTTTGGGGCTCAGTGCATCTGCTTCTTCTGAGAGAAACTCCCGAAAAGGCCATGGGTCTGAAGCCTCCGCCCACAGGCAGGTCTTCCTCTAGTCTTGGAGGCAGCAAATTTACCTATGTTTCGGAATGCTTCTAGTCACTGAAGTGCAAAAGCAGCTTACAATTGTAAACATGCCCACACCGAATTTCGGCAAGAGCTTAATCAAAAAAGCCCCAAAAGCCGGCAGCATCAATTATGACCTGAATCCTGAATCCTAAACTTACGCCTCAACCCTTTGCCCTCCGCCCGCACAACGTGGAGCCCTTCGTCGGCGTGAAACGGCGGTCTTGACCGGGCTGCCGGTCCCGGAAACGGACATGGTCCGGCTGGAGGGGTTGAGGGTTTGGGGGTTAGGGGCTTAGGGTTTAGGGGTTTAGGGGTTTAGGGGTTTAGGGTGCGCTTCGGGGTTGAGGGTTTGCGTTTGGGGCTTCCGGGTGGGGGTGGAGGGGAAATGTCACTCTTGAACAGTGTCCGCAACTGCTCTTTTAGCTCCAAGAGCGCCATTGCCCGTGTGCTGAGAGCTGGGAGGAAGCGGAGGCAAACCCCACCCTGCGAGCACTACAGAGGATGCCCGCTAAACCTCGAGGGTTTCGGCTCGCAGGGCGACTTGGGCAGTCTTGAGCCTTTAGATGGGTGGTTGTCAAAAGTAGGGTCCCTTTTGGGTACCCAAAAATCACAGGTGCCGTATTATAATAGGGACCCAAACAGGGACCCTAATTTTGACAACCACCCAAATTTTTGGGGGGCGGGTGCTTCGGGTCCAGACCGGGTGCACGGGAAACCCTTGGCAGCCCGGAGCTTCAGGCAAAAGTGATGACCTTGGCACAGAGAGATGAGGGCTAAATAGGAAGGAGTTTAGAGCGCAGTTTAGGGTAACAATAGTCATAATAGTAATAATAGTAATAGTGGTAATAATAGTAATGCTAGCAATAATAATCATAATAATCATAGTAATAGTTTGGGACTCTTCATAACATGGTTGAGCACGCTGACGACTCCGGGCACTCCCATGGTGAAGCGAGGTGATCAACATCTCAGCGAACATGCTTCCGGCAGGGGAAGGCAGGGGAGAGTAAGGGAGTTTGGAACTGCAGTAAACTTCTTCTGGCATGTACCGTCCAGGTCGTCATGAGCACCCACAACGGTAGCAGCAACAACAGCAGCAACGGCGGTAACAGCAACCGCACCAGCAGCTGCAGTAGCAGCGTGGTAACAACGGCAACTACAAGAAACGTGCCTGTAGAAATAGTCCAACCCACTGGCTGAATTTGCTTTCCAAACATGTAGGAAGCCAGGTGAAAAACAAGGTTCCGTGTAGACAGGAAATGCCCGGCTCGACCGCGCATTAGTTAGCGCATAAGTCACTGAAGCCGCGCCGTATGACAGGCGAAGCAGGAAGCCCCCTGGAAGACTCAAAAACAGCACAGGGAGCCGGACGTAAGCCGGCATGGCGGCACCCGACTGTTGGATCTTGGCAGCCGCGGCTTCGTGCTCCAGGGGTAAGGGTTTAGGATTTGGAGCTTAGGGCTTAACTTACACTGAAACGGCTTGAGGCTTCTAGGGCTCCAATTCGGTTCCAGGGCTCCAATTCGTTCTGCTCATGCACGGCTTCCTGGCAGCGTTCCTGCCGATCCCAAATCTGAAGACCTGAAGCGTCCGAGTGCCGGGCCACCATGACCTCGGGGCTCGCCAAGCAGTCCACTGAGCTGTTGTAGCGATGCCTGGGTGCATTGAGCTGGATTTCAGGCTTCTTGGACATTGGGGCTTATGGCTTGATGTACTATAGGGGCCTGAATCATTAGAAAAGGGTTTCGGGGCCCCTTATACTATGAATATATTTTGGAACCCCCAGAATAGTAGAGTCCCCCATATTATGGTGAAGAGCTACGGCTTTTGAGTCTGCATCCAGGGGCGCTGCATTCTGGATTGAAGAATGAGGGCGGCGAAATTGGCTCTACGGCGATGCACTACAGCGCAGCATGCTGCCCAAACTGAATCTCCGTGGCGAAACCACTTCTGAAGTGAACAGACCGCAGACTGTCTTTACACCATCACCACGAACCCTAACCTACCGCTGCATTCAGACCATCCAGGCCCCCCGGCGGCGGCTTGTGCCTGAAGGGGAGGACGCCCTGCACTGGCGTTTGCTGGCGCTTCGGGTGCTTTCTGGGGATGTTGGGGGTAGAAGCGTCAAGCTCATGATCGTGACGGAAACGAAGACGCACAGGAGGGGGGGGAGTTGGGTTCCAAAATACCACAAGTCCACACGAGCCCCACACCCTATCCCCCAAACCCCTAAACCTCGTGGCGCCTTGTGCGCCGGGTCACCAAGGCAGGAGATGCCCATGATGAGTAGGCACATGAGCATCCTCTCAGGCGGGGTTAAGGTTTAGGGTTTTGGGGTTTACGGTCTAGTGTTTAGGGGGCTGTGTCTTAAGGGTATGTTCCAGCAGTCTACGGCACTTCTATGATGCACCGAGAAGGATATGAGGGCGGTTCCTTAGGGTTGTATGGGGTTTAAGGCTCCTGGGACTGTCCGGGGCCTGGGCCTTCGTCATTGTTTTTCGACTGGCGACATTTGCGACTTAAAACGCCATCTCCCCGTAGGATAGTTTCGGCATTAGAGCTTGCGAAGCAGAAGTATGATAGCAACCGCAGGTATACACCCGACATTCAAACTCATCGAGAGCCCCCCCCCCAACCCGAACACCCCGACAGCCATCCAAAAGCCCACTTCCTCAACGCCAACAGCTGGTGCGAGGGGCACAGGCTCCGATCCTCCGCGTGCCATCGGCGTTGGGGGCACCGCAGAAGCCCCCGTCGGCCACGTACTTGGCGTCCCGGGCCTTGGCCGTTTCGAACGAAGGGTTCGGAGGCCTCAAAGGCTCTCATGCGTAGTATGGCAAGCAATACCCCATGACAGTCTCTTTATCCCAGTACATGCTGCGAAACCTGAAATGCCCTCCGGAACTGTAAGCGTCGACCCCGTTGGTATGCGATATCTGAGCTCTGTGCGAAGTATGTCCCAGATCCCCACAGCGTTGTGCTGCGAGTTCCTGCCGCCAGAGTTGAGAAAAGGAGTCCAGCGGATGAGGAGGAGGAGGAGGAGGAGGGTCACGACGACTGTTGTGGTCATGGTGCTGCGGGCATCTGGCTAATATGGTGGTGATCCCTTGAAAGCACCGGGCGGTCCAGAAGCCAAGGGCTGGAAACCACACACCTGGGCTCAGACTCTTTTTGGTCCGGAGCAGCTTGGGGCTTTCGTGCTTACGGAGCTGGAGGCATGCTTGGGGCAGCAAAATCGTTCCTGCGCATCACCTGCACATCTGCAGTCGTCCATGGTCGTCAATGCCAGGGCACCGGGTTGTTCACGATCGACCTCGGAGGGAGACGACGGATTCGGACTCTCTCTCTCTCGGACAGATCCAGGCGAGGTATCCGTTTCCGGAGGGCAGTAAACGACATGAAAGGCAAAGCAGCTGGATTTCGAGCCTTCCCTTGGGAAGGGATTATGCTTCGAACACTGAACTTCCAAGTCAACGAAGCACCTGCCGTGGGTCGGGATGTTCAGACGTCTTACTTGGCTATTGGGCTATCAGGAGAATGGCTTCCAGCAGCAGCAGCAGCAGCAGCAGCAGCAGCAGAGGTGCCAGCGGCGGTGGCAGTGGCGGTGGCAGTGGAGCAGCAGCAGTGATAGCAATGGTTGTAGTCGTAGTTGTAGCTGTTGTGGTTGTTGGAGGTGGAGTATTTGGAAGAAAGTTCGTTGCTTGTGTAGTGTTGCTGTTGTTGGTGGTGTGGTTCATGCTTTTGTTTTCGTTGCTCTTGTCGTCAGTTTGGACTCGTGGAAACGATGACATCAACAGAACTACACATCCTACCATCTCCTAACAAAAAAGGACAAGAACCTGCCTCTGGGTCCCCTTGCTCCAAGGCCTCGTTGTTGCAACCGTGAAAGGCCCAACACCTGGGCACGCAGAAGACTTCAGAATCAAAGCTTCAGGGTTCTACCACTACCACCAAGTTAATACTACGACTCCGGTTCCTCCTGCTCCTGCTACTGCTACTGCGAATACCGCGACAACTGCAAATATTCCACCATCACTACCACTACTGACTACTGCTGCTTTGTTTCTTCTCCACCTTCGCTGTAGTGATCGACCTAATTTGTTGTTCAATCCTGCCAACACACAAATGTACTCTCTGATATCGAATCTCTAATCAGCAGCCTCAGATCCCAACCTTCTCAACGCATCTCAGACTTTGGGACTTCTTCCCACAAAGCTGGGGCTCCGGCGTGTGGGTGCCGGGCTCGAACTCAACGCCCTGGTCTTCCAAAGACCTCTCGGCTGTTGCACTGAACAGCGGCCGGAACAGAGAATACAAAAAAAGGCCATCTGCGCAGAAGAATGTCAACTCTTTCCCCCGCCCCCCCCCCGGGAACTACAACCAGCTATGATCGTCCCTTAAGGCCCCTCAGAGTAGTCCCTTAAGGCCCGCACCGCAGGAGCGACTTGTAGTAGGGCTTCCAGGAGGCATCGCCCTGTGGCCCGTTCTCCACGCGCTGGATCTGAGCAGCGCAGGGGCGAGGTCACAAGGGGCCTGAACCATCCTTCGTTCCTACAAACATACACAAACATGTACGTGTATGTGGGCATATATACATACATATATATATATATATATATATATATACATAAATACACACAGACAGACAGAGAGAGAGAGAGAGATAGAGAAAGCCAGAGACGGGGATGGATGGGTAGACAGGTACATAATCGACAGATAGACAGACAGATAGATAGACTGACTGACTGACAGACAGAGGGATAGAGAGATGTAAGGTCGCTTTGTAGACAGATAGACAGGCCAGATAAGTTAGATAGCGTATTCAGATGGGATGGATAGATAGACAGACAGACCGAGAGATAGGCAAATAGAAAGATAGACCGCTAGATAGATAGCTGGATCGATAGATGGATACATAGGTATCTAGATAGATAGGTGCGGTGCATGTATACTTACTCACCAACGATGGCTATGGGTTTACTCCTGCAACATATCTAGATGTGTGCACATGCACTACAGGCGCTATACATGCGCATGTATTACGTGTACGTGCATGTGCGCCTGTGTCCGTACACACGCGCGCGCGTGACATACCCCAGGGTTCCAGGCCCGTAAAGCTCGCACAGGTGCCCAGGTCTCTGGAGGCGAGAGGATGTAGGCCTGGCTCGGGCTATGGGCTTTTGGGGCTCGGGGGTCTGAGGTAGTTTTATGAGGGTCCGGCGCATGCCAGTATTCAACTGCAAGTCAGCATCAACCATACCGCTTCAACCCCTGAGTGTGTTCATCCTGCAGGTCGATATGACGTCGAAAGCAGCTACCATGGGCATGGGGGCAGAGATGCAACCTTTTCACCAAGTCCCCTGACCCGCATCGAGCCCCGAGTTCGATTCGGCATTCTCGGGCGCGGTAGTCATTGAACTCCGACAAGAGGTTTTGATATTCGACGGGGTGCCGAAGCTGTGCAGGACTTGTTGTCAAGCTGATGCTGTGCAAGACTCCGAAGCACAGGGCTGTGTACGGCCTCATACGCCGTTTATGTGTAAATCCTCCGCAACGAGTACCCACCGGCCTGCTGCTCTATCGGCAACGCCTGGCTGAGCGATCACAAAACATCTTGGCACCGTGCGCGCAGGGGCGAAACTCACAGTCACAGCCCTTGCAAAAAGACTCGAAAAAGAGATGCAATCCCCAAACCCTTAGAACCGTGATGACAGAGGTCGGGTGCCTTAAAAGCGGCATTGACCATCCTGTACTCCTCCGTTCCCATGGGCACATCGTGCAGATGCTTTCCACTCTGATGGCCATTTGTAGACCATAGCCGCATGATCTGCTCGGGGCTGTAGCCTGGTCCATTCAGGGGTATTCCGACACGGCTACAGCCTGCCAATTGCAGGCTATCTTCTCGCATGGAACTTGTACGGACGATGCAAAAACAAACAAAAAAACAAACGATAAAAACAAACAAGCCAGTAAATACGCACAACAATAGACAACCCAATTGAATAAACAAATAAACAAAACAAACAAAAGCAAACAAACACACCCACACACACACACGCGCACTCACATCACACATTTACATAGATATAAAAGAGCACATACAGTTGTGTCTTTGCTTCTGCTATTTGTTCAAGTAGTTCACTACTGAGCGACCTATGTATCTACATGGATAGCTACGTAGACATTTGGTTCATGTGAGTATGATGTGAGTGTTATTTGTCTCTGTGTGTGTCTGTCTACTTATGTGTTCGTGTCTGTGTATCGCAAGTGTCTATACTTACGTAGTTATTCTACATACATAGACAAGTTCTCATAGTTGCATATCATAGGTACATAAAGAAATACATGACATGCACAACCTAACGCATGTAACCTACATGACCAACATGACAACACGTCCTAAAGTATATCACATACATAATTCGTGCATGCAGGTGTGTGTGTGTGTGTATACATCTGAGTGTCTACATATCCATGCATCTAGATACCGAAGTGTACCCACACCTACGCACCTACAGTCCCCTACCTAGTTGTGTGTACATGTACCAACTTGCACAACTATATCTCTACATATCATGTTTCCTATTATTTGTCTGACTAGATATCTGCATGGTAAATTACAGGTACATATGTACGTGGTACATAGGCATGACATGCATACTTATATGCAATATACATATCTATCTGTAATATACTTAAATATATGTGAAAAAAATATGCACACACACCCGTGTATACATTTTGGAACACACCCGTGTATGTACTGATATGTGTACACCTGAGTGAACAGATGTGTCTACATATATGTACATATGCATCAGTACTTGTGTGTGTATCTACGGTATCTATCTATCCATCCATCCATCTATCCTCTCTTTGTACATGCATACAAAAAGAAGAACGTCTGTGTAGTGCCATATATATATACATATATGGGTAGTTGTCATCAAAATTATGGTCCCTTGTTGGGTGCCCTAAATATTCGGTGCCATATTATATGGAGGACTCAAAAAAGGACCATAATTTTGACAACCACCCATATAATACGTATATACACATGTCTATTCCTAGACCAGGTGGCCACGTGCCTAGCCACAGCTCGGCATTGTTTCTCTCTCGAGAGAGCCTCGCAGGGCGAGTTACACGGTCTGCATCAATTACGTGCGATGTTGGGATTCGGGCTAACATGCGGATGGTGGTGACGGTGACGAGAACGAAAGAAGGATGATAAGACTGGATAGAACCGTCAGCAGCGCCAGCATGATCTTGACCGTCGCGACGAAAATCATGATGGCGAGCGCCGCTGCGACCGTGGTCATGGTCATGATACAGGTCATCATCATCTTCTTCTTCATCTTCAGGTGCTTGTATTATATTTAATGTGAGGTCGACTGCTGCTGGGAAAACGACAACGTCGTCGATGACGATGACAACGCTTCCTCGAAACCTTTCCTCAATACACCTCCTCCTGCAATTCTACTGCATCGTAGAAGGTGAAATTAGGCTCGCTAAGGTTTGGCTGATGTACCCTGCGATCTGTAAGTACACTATGCGACGTTCGGCTTTGCTCGGTGAAGCCTGCAGTCATACTCGGAAAATTCCAAGACGACGTGAACATCATGCTTTTGAACATTTCTGACTCGTGTGAACATGCACTGCAGTGCTTCGTCGTGCTTTCACTGTAACTCGGTGACATATAGTAGCGCTCGGTAGAAAGAAGGAACTGCGCAACTAAACACAGATACACATACATAAGGCTTCATGCAGAACCCAATCATATAGTAGGTGGCTTGCTTGTGATATTGCTGGCAAATCCGCTACTACGTTACATTACTTAACTTTACATCCTTTCAATAACCCTGTCAACAGCACCCCGAAGGAATAGGTGCTATTAGGGACTCCCACATGCAATCATAACATCGAACAGCCATGGCTGCAACAACTCGCAGAATGACGACTGCTAAAATTGGATCGCATGGTGACGCAGCAATCTAACTGGTACTAAACAAACCCTAAGCCCTAAGCCCAAAAAACGAAACTTAATTGTAAAGTTGCAGCTAAGGGTTGCTCCTGGCGCTGTTGGCCGCGTCTTGCTGCTGTTGCGTTTGCAGACCCGGACTCCCGAAAGCACCCCACAACAGCTACATCTACAATGCATTTAAGAAGGAAACGCCAGGCCCATAAACAAAGTTATGCGAACTTCACCCCGCAAATGAACGGCCTGGACACAAGTGATCGAGCTATCCATTGCGCCTCTCTTTCCAGGTCCGATGAAAGTGCATTTCTGGACCCTCCTTGCCTCGGATGTGGCAGCAAAACGATGGTGAGTACCAAGAACTGAACTCGTGGTGGTGATAGAAGTAGCCAGTAGCAGTGCTAGAAGGAGGAGGTGCTAGTACTGCAAGTGCAGCAGTCGCGGGGGAAGCGGGGCAGGTTTAAGGCTGGGGCATCGAACTCGAAGCCAGGGACTTGACGGCACAAGACCAGGTGCGTCGCCTGAACCTGTCATCCTCCCACGCCACGGCCACTCCCGACCCTACCCGCTGCAGCTCTTGCTCTCACCACTATGGCGACTTTTCAACGAGCCCTCAACCCTGAACCTTTTATCTTGTACACAAAACCCTAAACCTCGAACCTGATAAACCTTATAACCCTTAAACCCTGAACCCCGAACCCCAAACCCCGAACCCTAAACTCTAAGCCCTGAACCCTGAACCCTAAGCCCCGAACCCTGAACCCTAGCCTTAAGGCCCTGAACCCGAAAACCATCCATCGGAGCGGCAGAGGGTCGCATCGATGAGCCGAGGGAGGACGTCGTGGTGGAGCAGAGACTCCTGGCTTCGGACGCTTAGGGTTTAGGGTTTAGGGTTTAGGGTTTAGGGATTAGGGCTTTTTTGTGGGGATTTAAGCTTTAGGGCTGTTTTTGTTGTGGAGCTTAGGCTTAGGGTGCAGGGTTTAGGGCTTAGGGCTTTGGGTTTAGGGTTTAAGGTTCAAGCTTCCGGATGTAAACCCAAAGCCATTTCGGATCCGGGCACGGTTCACCTCATATCAACAAACATCCCCAAGACCCTTACCAGGAACATGTTCTCCTGCATTTGCCCCAAAAATTTTGGAGAAAAAAACATATGGCTGCTCGAATAACGCCGGAACGCCGGTGTCTGATCTGGTGGACTTGGGATCTGAATAACCCTTAAAGCAACTTCAAGAAAGCCGCTTATCAAAATCGACTTCTAACTCAAGTTTTTAAAGTTCTTGTATATCCGAACATGTTTCACATTACTGATTGTCAGAACTCTTATTTCCACCTGCGCACGCACTACAGTACTCAGAGGAGGCTCCTGGTTGTGGGTGTCGCCTTGCCGCGAGATCTGTCCTGGCCATGGAAACTTGAAACCCTCAACAAAACTTGACACCTAGACCACGCAACTCGAGATTGCAGAAGATCTTTCGCCGTGGTCTTTTGTCCTGACACCCGGGAGTGTTTTTCTGCATCTTGAGCCCTCGGTTCAGGAAATCGCTGGTGAGTCCCAGAAGAGGATGCGTGGTGTCATTCCCTGTCCGAAACGCCACACCCCACAGTCCTGAGGGCAGCCGCCCGCTGTCTGCGGTCCAGTACAAAAACGTCTTGTTCTGCCCTCCGGTGTGCATCAAAGCCTCCGGGTGTTCGCTTGGCTAAGGGGCACTGGGATCTTTGGAAATTCCAGCTGGTCTTGGGACTTTGTGCAACTTGGGGCAATTTGGGGTCCTGCGTGTCGGTCCGCAATCCCTCAAGCCCGAAAGACCCTTTGAAGCTGGCAGCTCTTGAAGAACCACCCACTACCCCAAGTAGCCCTCAGAGCATTGCAGGATCTTAGTGCCCTCAACCCGACAGCCGCGGATGTTCGGCTTCTTTCAGTGCTTCCAGTTCCCTTTCACTCCAGGGTCTCGGGGTTGCGAGACTTACAGACTGCACAAGGTTCCCCAAGGCTCTGTATAAAGGTGTCATAGGCTTTCTGCAAGGGCGTGAAATAGAGTTCAAAACACCAGGGATCCGAGACCTCGAGATCCGGCCGCTGCACCGGGTAGACCTCTCAGATTCTCAGGGCTCACAGGGGCTTGGGGGTAGGATGCAGTAGTCTTAAGGCTGCTGGGCTTTGGGTTTGGGGCTCAAGGCTTTGGGTTTAGGGTATAGGAAGAGGCTTTCGGCCTTCAAACCCTGAATGGAAGGTGTTTGCGGGCGGGGTCTCGGGTCGGAGGCTTCAACCTGCCGGGTTTCCTGCAGAATGTTTTGTAAATGATGAAGCTGCAACATGCCGGTATCCAATATCATCGCAAGTGTCTTTTTTCCGAGTGATGGCTGATCGCGGACATCGATTGTTTCGCAAGAGTGTGCGCCTCGACGTCTGCAAAGATATCGTGAGCATCCTAACCACGTCGCGGAAACAAACTCATCAGGTTCTATGGAATCCAAGTCCCATGTCCCAAAATGGGCATCCATCCTGTGGCTTGCGTGTATCGGTGTCTCTGCAGAATGCTGCTATTCTCAGAGACTGATCCCAAAAAAGCTTTGGATGAAACCGAGAGCCACCGACGAGCCAGCAAGTACCTTCACCATCATCGATGTTAGCATCCCTTTGTTTACGACCATGCCGGTGCCGTACATGACAAATCCCATTCCCTGACCATTGTTCTCCTGCTGCATATATACTTCAGTCATTCGAATGTGCTTGTCGTCATCAGCTCCACTCACTGCCCTCAGTGTGTTCAGTCTGATGCGTAGCTCATCACAGGCGTCCGACACTGCTGTTAACGGGAACAAACAGGCAACAGCAGGCAGCTCGAATGCCACTGCCTCCACAAGAATCGCTTGTATCGTCCCATATTCCATTTGGGAAATGGCGCTGCCGCTGAATAGCTTCAGAGCGAACAGCACGTAGCTCACCCAACTGCACACAACAAAAACAGCTGCAGGCATGCCGATAGTTGCTAAGCAGGGCAGAACGTCAATAACGAGCTTGACGATGTAGGCGTGAAGCGTTTTCATCTTCTGGGTGTCAATTCGGCCCTCATGGCTTGGAGTAGCTTCAGTCCCAGTTTGCTTATGCACAGAAAGTACTTTGTCCAGCGCGGCCTCCACATGTAACCGCACCATGCGAGCCTGCAGCGACGCATCCAGCATGAACCGGAAGAAGAGCATCTTCAGCAAGAAGTCGTTCAGCACATTTATGACAAAGGCTGAATCTTCAAGTGCCAACCTCTTCAAATTTGATAACTCAACGAGGAAGCCAGCGAGGCGCGGTATCGCAATCATTATATTAGCCAGAACAATACCATATGCGACCATCGTCTTGAAAAGCTGCTCGTTGAGAACTGAGGCCAGCTTGATGTTGACCTTCGTGGGGCATTTGGCACCTGGCCTTGCAAGCGGACTGGCTGCCGTCTGCTTAAGGCCGTGAAACACACAACCGCAGCTAACTGCTTGGAGCAGTGACTCCATCAGTGTCACGATCACAAACTTGGGCACTATTTGCACCAACGGTAATGTGAAAAAGGCAGAGGCGAAAAACTTGCCTGTGAAGTAGAGGAGTGACAGCTGCACCGCGAAACACTTGTCCATGACCATTGTGAACCTGATGTCTTGCATCTTCTGAGCTGGCTCCATGCTTAGCTGCAGTTCCTCTTCCACCTGCTCCAGTGGTATGGCGCTGTTGTGTCGCACCCAAGAAGCAACGCTGCTTGTCGCGCCTGCCTCGGAAGCAGCCTCAGAACCTCCTGCTTGTGAGACTGGTGACAGCGCTGTGTGGCACCACAGCTGGTGCAAAGCAAGGGGCAGCGCGTACAGTGCTAGAACGAGTGCCACGAGAGCAGGGGCAAATCCTGAAGCAACTCTTGCATAGTCAGCGTACCGACTTCTTGGTGGCTCGACGCTAATCGTATAGGCCCCTGAATGATTCAGCAGTTTGGCCCATAATGGAGCAATTGAAAAAGAAGCCAGATTACTTACATCCGTGGGGCCAATTTTCATCAGATGGGACCCCTCGAGCGGTTTAAGCGCGCATGAGCAGTTGACGTATTGGATGATCGTACCCCCATGTGCCCGGTCGCCCAACGTAATACGCGATGTGTCTTCAGGTCGCAGCGTGACCGTCGCCAGCATGGGTGAGAGCTGACTGTCGATTCTGCTTTCGTTGTTGGTTGGGCTGGACGTGCTTGTAGAATTCTGCGAAGTTGCGTCCACTTCTTGCCGGATGGCTTGTACGGTGAAAACAAGATGCCCCACGATCCAAACCGTGAAGACCTTGGGTGCGAGCATTGAGCAAACTAACTATCTCCGCAGGGACTTTGCCCTGAGCTACAGAAAACCTGCAACAAGCATGACAACGCTGCGGCCATGGCCATGAAATCTTTCGCAACCTATACTCCAGTAGCATTGCATTTTTCAGGAATCGGGCCGGTCAGGCAGCGTACCACCGGATCCGGTCACAGACGCGGAAGATTGAAATTGCGGAGGGACACAACGCACTGCCCCACCAACGTTCTACTCTACAAAGTTTGTTTCTTTTTCGCTGACCTTTCCATTGACATCCCAACTTAATCAACATAGAGCTTCAAAACCTTGCTTGGCCCTCTGAATGTTGTGGGGCGGAGTCGCATGCCTCTTGGAGACCAACATCAGCGTTCCACGTGTCCCCGGCTTCTGATCGACAATTAGCTTGTTTGATGAGTTCATTTGCATTGGGATTCTGGGTATAGTCTCCGACCTCGTCGTTGGAGCCCACGGCCACAACAACGTTGGCCTCCTGACGCGGATGGCCCAGGCTCGAACCCCAAACCCCCAAACCTCCCCAAACTCCCCAAACCTCCCCAAACTCCCCAAACTCCCTCAACTCTCAGGGACCTCTTACTAGTCACAGGATCTCTCCTCCGGGATCTGGCGGCACGTCGGATGCCTCGGGAACAGTGAGATTCGGGGCTTCGCAGTGGACCCCCGCATGACCCGAGGGGAAGTGAACACGAAACCCAAAAACCGCCCACGAGGCCGAATGGTATAATTACCAAGGGAAATAACAAAAAATAGTACCACACAATAAGGGCTAGTATAGTATAACAGTATCGGGATTGTAAGGGGGTAAGCGATGGTGTAATTATACAGGCAATGGTGTAGCTATACAGGCAGGGACGATATGTGATTCAGAACCCTAACCCCTTAACCCCTAAAACCCCAAAACCCAAGCCCTAAGCAAAGAAGAAAAAAAAAAACAACGGCCCCAACGCTAAACTAGCGGACTCTCTCGGCCCCCCGGCGCGTTGATCAGCACCGTGGGCCTGGCCCGATGTCTTCATCGCACGGCTCTCTCGGGACCGAGAAGGTTCATGTGGGAGTTGCTGAAAATTAGGGGTACCTTATTTTGGGGTCCCTATAATTAGGATCCTACTATTTGGGGTACCATATTAGAGTCCCCTATTTTCGGAAGCTCCCATGTTACAGTGCAGCGTTACTGGAGCGATTAGCATGAGGGAGGCCATGATGGTTCGTACTAACATACAGTTGCTGTGAAGCCTAGAAGAGGGGTTGCTATGAGGGTTCCCGTAAGAGATCTTGGCAGGGCGCGACTGCAAGGATCCCCATTCAAGAACTCTTCAAGGTCCCAGGGCTCAAAGCGCTTGCACCTGAAGTCTGCCCAGGGAACACTATCCAAAACAACTGAAGCCGAAGAAAATCTGCCGCTTACAGGCGGAGCAACATCCGACCGACCCGGTGGCTCAGCAGCTTAAGGTCTAGAGTTTAGGGTTTAGGGTTTAGGCTCAGGCTCAGCAGCTTAAGCAAAGCCAAGGGCCCGGGCCCTCTCCAGTAGCCTCTGCGCCAGAGGCCGACTATGTACACGCCGCCTACCCAACGAGGGCAAGGCGAGGGCACAAAAGGAACGCCAGCATAGCGAGAGGAATCTCATGGGCACAGCATGTTGGACGCTTTCGAATCCCTTCGGCGGTGAGTGGTGAGTGTCAGGGCAATCACTTACCATTTCCTCGTAGGGGCACTGTTCGGCACCTTCCGACCTCCTGACTTTCCCTTACCTCCCGAGCCCCAACATGCTCAAGCTCCCTATTTTGAAGTCCAGGTCCGGGAAGGCTCTAGGCTTTAGGTCATAGGTCACCCCGCCTTTCGATGCTCCCATAATAACATGGGGTCGAAACCTTGGCACGCCATGCGTCCGTTTGGGCGTCTCGGTGCATGGGCTCAGGGACTGTGCACCTAAGGCTGTTCTGGCTTTGCTGCCAGAACAAAGCTAAGCGGAAAAGCAGCCTGAAAATTTCTGGCATGGCAAACGCGAACGCCACAGCCAAACCTTCAACATTCCGAACAAGGCTGACCTTCTGTACTGCCCCAGTTGTTCCTGTTGTTCCTATCGTCCCTCTTGTTCTTGCTCTTCTTGCGGGGCCCTGCCACGTTCCCGTGCTCCCCGACCCCACTTCCGGGGTTCGCACGCGTCCATCTCCGACTTGAGGCGGTCTGAGCGGGAGCCCCAGATCCCAAGACTTGAAAAGACTTCAGGGATACTCATATAGGTTTCGGGCTTCCTTTCGCACAGGCCTCTATTCGTCGACGTGAAAAAACCAAATCTTGGTGCAGCACATGACATGATGTTGCCGCCGGTGCGCCTCACCGTCTCAACCCTCCAGCCTGATCCCTGGACTTCAAACCCTGAAGCCTCAACTTTAGCAGCACTCCTCCCCAAGTCCCAACACGAAAGCCCTTGAGGAAGCAGCCCGTGAAGGAAGCCTCGTCCCCAAACCCTCAGCCATGCAAGCCTAGGTAAGGCTCCACGGGGAAGTTCGGCAGCTCGGGGTTCGGGATGTTGAAGCACCAGCCGATCTGACATTTAGGGTTTAGGCTTTAGGGACCTTAGGGCTTTGGTTTTGGGACATTAGGGACTTTAGGGACTTTAGGGGTTTGTGTTAAGGGTCTATGAACGATGATAGCGCTTTTGGAGACGAGAGTTTTGCATCGAATCTGACACCTCCTGGTCAACGGGGCTAGTGCCGCGTGTGTTGTGGTCTACCAAAGTCTCCTCGTCGGTCCCTGAAACCTGTCGTGGAGGGCTGTTTTGGACCATGAGGCCTATGCTCCCAGATTGCGTGCCATATTGGCCTAACTTGGATGACAGAAGCACTTACAACAAACTGCCTGATGTAAGCAAGGCAGAAGGAGGACCCATCCGAGCATCCTAATTACCATCTTCATCAAGACGTTGGGGCTCTGAGCTTGCACCTATTGGAAGGCTGCCACGCACGCACGTGCGCACACGCCATCACGCGCGCGCAGATGCATACATACATACATCTATATATATATATATATATATATATATATATATATATATATATATATGCTTATTATATACATATATATATATATATATACATATACACATATTGTATGTACACCCGCCGGACAAGGACGGCATGAATCAGACTGGGCATATTCTGGGCTCTATGCCCGGCAAGCACTTTCGAAGGAAGAACTTAACAGATTGAAGACAGGCACGGATTGGTTCAGTGGCCCAGCTTGCAAACTACACGGAACCCACCGTTTGGGATTGCCGGCATCTACAAACTAGGAATCATTGAAACCTACCTAGTACCATCCAAAATGTGAATGAGCACTTCCTGCCGCCAACAGCGCGACGTCAAGACAAAAGGCCAAGCCAAACCAAGTGTGGCAGTTGAGGACGTTTCGCTGAAGCCCGAAACCTTCAAGTGTCAAGGCTTCAAGATCGGCTGATGCGCCTGATAGCCAGCCGACTCAACCATGCGGCTTTGCCGTGGGTTGAGCCTCGAGGCATCTGAGGTGCATCCTACTACTAGTATCTAAGATCTGAGAATGGGTGCCCTCCCTGTGTTCTGAAACTCCCATCTTCAGCTTGGGCCTTCCCAGGTTTCCTGCATGTCATGCACTCCGGGGTCGAGGTTTCTTTTGTTGGCCCTTCTCCCTCTGATTCAAGCGGCGTATGTATAAGTTGTGCTTTACATGGGGTTTTTTGGCTCGGGGTTTTAAGATTTAAGAGGGTTTAGGTGTTTAGACTGCTTCTGCAAGCGGCGTCTGCGTGCTCCCGGCTTGGGGCGCCGACTGGTTGCCGAAGCCGGGGCCGATGATGAAGACGCGCGTAGTCTGAGGGCTGAGGAGATCGAACCCTTGCAAACGCCCCACAAAACGAGCACTATACAACATGCATGCTGCTGCATGACGTAAACCGACATAAACAAGCGTTTTGTGTTAGAACCCCTCTTTTCCGTCTGCTTTCTCTAGCTCAGGGTTTAAGGTTTAAGTTTAGGGTGTAGGGCCTAGGGTTTAGGTGTAGGTCTTACAGGTCCTTGAGGAATCTACCAGAGTTTCATAGTGTTTTGGCTGGCGGAGTTCAAGCAGGCTGTTTAGTTTTGGACCCCTGTCTCTGCAGCCAGAACTGTCCATCGGTGACGATGGCGATGGTGGCTCTGACGATGACGACGACGATGAGGATGCTGATGATGACGATGGTGATGGTCATGTCGAGGTATAAGGAGGATGGGTCTGTGTAGAGGGATGGATGAGGATAATGATGACGATGATGACATCGATGGCGGTATCACCATCACCATGGCTATCCACATCCACTTATAATCAGAAAGCAAACCCGAAGCTGCTCCTGGGAGCCCGGGCAGTGCGGTTCAAGTTGCTTGGGGGCCGCGGTGTCGCGGCCACGACGGCCTCACAGGGCACCGATGAATCTGTTGAGTGCTTCTGAGCCGGCTTAGACGCAAAAACACAACCATCGCCAGCATCACCATCGTCTTCGTCATCAACATCATCATCGTCGTCATCATCGTCATCATGATCCTGATCATGGCCATCATCGGTGTCGATTTCGGTAGCGTGACTCCTTTAATCCACTATCGTTGGCACATTCGCTTCGTTGTCTGCCTCTTCTCGCCGTTGCTCTAGCTGCTCTCTGGTTGTTCGCTGCTGCCTTTCCTGCTGCTGCTGCTGCTGCTGCTGCTGCTGCTGCTGCTGCTGCTGCTGCTGCTGCTGCTGCTGCTGCTAACGTGATTGCTGTGGGTATTTCTGTCTTGCATCCCGCCGTGTCATGTCTAGCTGTTCTTCTTTCTGACTGTTGATGCGGCTTGTGTGTTGTTGTCGTTGCAGATCTTCCTGCTGATTCTGCCGTTGATGAGCTTGCTCTCTTCGCATGACGGCTGCTGTTGTTGTTGCGGCTGCTGTGTTGCTGTTCTTGTTCTGCGATGTTGGTGTTTGAAGGACTGGTGCTTGTCGGTGCTGGCAACGGTGCTGCTGCTGTTGTTGATGCGTGCTTTCTGTTGCTGATGCTGTACCGTCGTTGTCTATGTTGGTGTGTGCTAGTCATTCATTCCAGACATTTCGGGGGAAGACGCCCCACCTTGCGGAAGTACTTCTCGAAGTCGTAGTACGTGAATCGCCTCACCGTCCCCAAGCTTTGCTTCGGATCCGAGACCCTTCTGAAAGGAGTTTCTGGTCGGGCCGGGAAGGGACGGGGATGCTGCCAACCAAAAGCCCTCTCATACACGGGGAACTCTGGCAGGCACAGACCTTGTTTAGAACCCTTGAAGATGTGGGGATGGCCACATTTAGACCCAGGTAGCAGCACTTCTTGCGGCCGAGAGTCTTCTTCCCGCCGGCAATGGCCTCCCAGGCACTTGTGGACAAAAAGAGCAGCTGGGCCCCAGCACAGCTGCCAGTACCACTACCACCAGCATCACCAGCACTGCGACTGCGACTCCTCGTAACTACTATCCAAGCTCCAAAAGCAGCAGAAAGAAGCAGAAGAGTACCGGCCACAGCAAGAGCCAGCAGAAATCTACCAGGCCCGAACATGAAGCCCGGAACTGGGAGCTGAAGGGACCACCGAAGGGGCCACCGAAGACCTCAAAGCGGTCTCAAACCTCCGTGCCGCTCTGGTTTCGGAACACCGCAGAGCTCCGGCCACTTACCAGTCCCCTGCACGGTGCCTCATCCCTTTCGGAGGCTTCCGGGTGAAAAGCGCGGGGAGGTCCGCAACAGGGTAGTTATAACTGGGATTATGAGTAGGGTAACTATACTTATAACCCATATTACGAAATTTTTAACCCCGCTTATAAGGATGTGAGAGCGAGGCGACAGATTTTTCTCCTTGTTACGGGCTACGGGTCTCGCATGTGATCGTAAGCTAGCAGATGGCTCCACACCTCAAGGGCTCGAGTCTCTTCTCTTCGCCGCATCTCCCCGGCCAGAATCATGGCAGAGTATCAGAGAGAACTTGCGTGTGTTTTTAGGGTTCAGGGGGCCTTCATCTTCGATCACAGCTGCCACTATCTTGACATTCTGACTTTGTCACCAAATCCCTTCAGGTCTTGCAACACGCATGATCCGTGGTAGAAGTGGTCGCCGCTGCCAGCGTGGTAGTAGGAGGAACATAACAGTACAACGTGGCAGCTGCAGGAAAGAGATGGCAGGTAAGTACCGTATCAGGTTGCGTCCTACACGGAAGTCCTCTTTGATTCTGAATCGGCCAAAGGGCCTAGCCCCTCCCCGGGAGCAGCATATGTGCCACGGGGGGGGTGCCCGGAAACGGCTCCCGCACTGGGAGCAGCAAAGACTCTTCTCTTTCGGAGTGCTGCGGGTCTAACCCAGGACTCCCGGAGTGACGCCTAGGACCTAGGGCTCTGGAAAAGCCTCCGACTCTCAGAGAGCTGGCAAATCTCGTACGAGTGGCGTGGAGAAAAGTTCGTTTAAGGTGGTCTCAGCATCCCTCAACAGGGCGGAAATGGGCTGGGCATGTGACAAGGACTTCTCCGGCTTAAGAATCCCCAGTGGCAGCGAGGGGTTTTGGAGCTTGGCCTCGGCCCGAAAGACCTGACAGCAACAGAATGGGCTTTAGGAGTTTAGGGTCTAGGCGTTTACGGCTGAGGGTTTAGGAGATTGGGCTTTAGGGTTTAGGAGTTTGGGCTTTAGGGTTTAAGAGTTTAGGGTTTAGGGTTTAGGAGTTTAGGGGGCCCTTTGCATGGAGGATCTTCACTCCGGGAGGACTTGCGGATTCGGTGCAGGCTGCACCCTGCCGGGTCGACGCTTTCGTCAAGGCCCACGGGCACAGCTTTAAAAGTGACGGAGGCGGTATCAGCCGAACCTGGGACTGAAGACACGTGGCACTTCGTGAGCAGCTGTGAGGGTTCAATTCAGCGACAAACACCACAGGCACCTTTAGCGGAATCACGTCGTTTTGTGCGCCAAGCCTGTGGAGAACCATCAGACGTCCATTCCACAGTACCCTGGTCGACGGAACCCCGTGAAGCCCAAACCCTGCACACTGAAAGAGTCAGGCAATCAAGCTTTCATATCAATCACAGACAGCACTGCTGCTAGTGCTGGCTGCTGCTGGTGCTGGTGCGGGTGAGGGTGCTGCTGGTGCCGCTGGTGCTTCTGGTGCTTCTGGCTGGTGCTGCTGGTGCTGCTGGTGCTGCGGGTGCTGCCGGGCTGCTGCAGCATCGGCATCTTAGGCGTTGGAGCTGAAGTTGTGGTAGCAGAAGCACGAGCAACAAATGCAGCCGCAGCAACAGCAGTAGCGGTGATGGTAGTACAGCCTGAGGCGTATGCACATGCACACACGTACAGACCTACCTACCTACCTACCTACCTACGGACAGACAGACATTCTACGTACATATCTACGTCAACACCTTCGTACATACCTACGTACTTACCTACCTACATACTTACCTAGGTATTTACCTGTACTTGCCTAATCTTGCCTACGTGCTTACTTACATACATACTACAGGCGCACACGCACACACAGAGTTGGTTTTGTTGGCCGTTGTGGTCACAGTACCGATAGCAACAATAATCATCTTCATCATCCTCACCATAGGCGGATAAATATGTTGATAAACATCGAGACGATGTCTCGCGATATTCGTGGCTGGGCTGGTTGCGATAACCAGAACGCCAAGAACAGCACGCATGACAGTGGAGCCTGCATACAAAGGCAATAACAGTAACAGTGACGACGAAAACGACATAAAGCAGAAGCACGCATTCAACCCAGGGCCCTTGCTAAGCGTCTTCTCCACTGCTGTCGCTCTCCTGCGGCACGAACATGGAGATAGGAATGTCGAAAGCCTCAGCCGAACAGACTTGCGTTTTGCTTTCGGGCTTGCTTTGGGTCGGAGTCCTTGCCTCCAGCTTCTGCAACTTCTGGCTGTCCGGAAGAAAAGAAGCCCGCGACCCCGAAGGCACTAAGGGAACCCAGACAGAACCAAGGGCCCCGGCGCCACTTGTCGGGTCGAAGTAGCAGCGCTTCACCTGCAGATCACGGGCTCCACGCAGGGAACTCCTGTGGAAGAAGAGCCGAAGAAGAACCCTAGTAAGCCCCCCTGCGTGTCATGAAAAACTACAGAAATAGTCTACATATATATATATATATATATTTATTTATTTATTTATTTATTTATTTACTTATTTATTTATTTATTTACATGAGTATTTGTACACTGTATATATTGACTACCTGTGCGTATGCATACACCGCTACACATTATCTATATCTGCACATGTACATGCCACTGTTCCTTCTCAAAGCCCGCGAAGTCTGAGAAGCCCGCTTCTCGGATCTGGGAGGCCTCCCCCCCCCCGGCGATTTAAAAAAAACTCCACGGCACTGAGAGGTGTAGACTCCCAAAAAGGGTTTATTTTGGGTTTAGGGAACAAAACCCTGAACAAAACCTGAAGCCAGAAGCCCTGAGCTCTGAGTTCCCTCAGCCTTGCCTCGGCATTGCTCAGGTAGCGATCGTAGCCGGCTCCTGCGATTGCGAAGCCGGAGGCCGAGGGCCTCTGGGCTTTGGGACGAGACCACCCCCCTGAACCCCAAACCCCAAAACCCGACATCAAACCCGAAGGTTTTAGGGCTCTTGTTTTTTGCACGACCCTTGTCCGTCTCGCCACGATCCAAGAAAGCGGGGTTCCGCACAGGGTTTAGGGCATCGCGGCCCCTAAACCCTAAACCCTAAACCGCCGGGTCCTTTGCCCAAGAGCCGTGCGAAGAACTGGCAATGCCCAACCTCCGCTCACACGTTCAAGTACGTTATAGAGTTGCACTCGTAGTAGAATATAAAGTATAGTGCCATATATACTAAGTCACATTGTAGCATAACATAGTATACTATAGATTACTATACGATAAGATGATGGTATTTAGTAGCTGAAAGCACATGACAGTATTTACACTCCAGGCACTGCTCCTTTGTCACTGCGCGAACCAGTTGATAGTGTCTTTGCAGCGTTCGTCACAAGCACGCTTCCGACACACGAAAAACGTGCTGCCCAGCTCGGCTCCGAAAGGAAAGCTCTTTCCTATTCACGTTGCATAAGTGCCGCATGACTAGTATGGCAAATCTCCGTTCGCGTTAAGTGACGCACAGGCACAATTCCACAAATTAGGCTAGAGAAGACTTAAGACGAGGCCGAAAGAGCACGAAGCCAAAAGGCTTTGCTTCCTTGCGCTTCCGGATCCGCATTTCCTCTCCTCAACAGAAAAACTGAAGCCCATTAAGCTTCAGGCGGGAACTCTGCGCTGCACGATTGTTCAGCCAGCTAGTTCTTTCGTCAATCTGCTTTCGCAAGTTCTCGTCCTGCTGGTCCTCACTCACTGAGGAACCGTGGGTGCTCGTCACGTCCGAGGACCCGTAGCACGCCTCAAGGTAGTGTTTGCCGCGCTCACAAACATGGTCGGCCATGTACGCCGGCGTGGCATAGCCCACGGATTTATCAGCACGTGAATACATGTGGCACAGCTGGAACGTGATGGTCTCAAAGTCATCCACAGTGATGCCTTGCTCCACGAGCCTCTGGTCCATGTGCAGGATGCGATAGTGGCAAGGCACGGACGTGCCTTGAATACCTTGCTGCGAGACCAGGAAGAAATTCAAATGCGATGGCTGGGCAATACCCTCGCTGGCCACTGTACCAGGAGGGACCTGTGCAGTGTCCTTTCGTTTGCCCTTGCCTTTGTCGTCAACTTCGACGCCACCATCCTGCATCCACAGGCGTGTCTGGTGACGTTTTTGGCCAACAATGATCACCAGCTTCGGGCTGTACGTGGTGCTGATGTTCTTGAAAGCGGCGTCGAGCAAGTTGAGCTCCCGCGTCAGAACGTTGATGAACTGTCCATCAGAGACGCCGTCGCGGTGGTAGATGATCGTCTCGGGGAGCTTCTTGTTCAAGTTTCTCCACTTCTCCAGGATGCTCTGCGTCATACTGGACAAGTCAATGATGCGTTCTTCGCTTTGGCGCTTCCGCTGCTTGAGCGGGCAATCACCGCACACTCTGAATGCACTCAAGCTGCTTGAGTGCATTCAGAGTGTGCGGTGATTGCCCGCGGATCTCGTGGAAGTAAGATGCATAGCTTGAGTCCACAGAACCCACAACTCCGGCCACACTGATGCCGGCAACCTTGTGGGTCACATCAGCACCCATGATCATGGTAGCCTCGTCCTTCCCAAGAAGCGGGTGTGGCTCCGACAGGGCCACATTGAAAGCTGCTGCTCTAGTCCCAGTCATCTCTTCATGCACTTTTGGGGCGATTTTCAGCATGAGGTTGTTCAGCTTCTTCTCCGCGTCTTCAATGCCATTCTTGCAGTGGATGAACTGCGTAGTGAAGGCGCCAAGCTCGGTCTCTGTGATGAGCTTTACGAGCTTGTACAGGTGCTCTGTAATGGCCTCACGGTTGTCCAGCAGGATAACCAGCAGCTGGAGGTCCTTGTGAGCACGTGCAACTCTTTGAAGATCATTTCGGATCGAATTGCCCATGTCCTTAGAGAAGGTCTCCCTGTTCTTGTAGCAATGCCAATATGCGTCGAAGCCTTCCTTCAAACTTGGCGTCATCGTTTTTCATGCCCCTCATGTTGCAACGGTTCTTGAACTCACCTGCAAACCAGCTGACATCTCTCTGGCTGGGCTTGGACTTTGTTGTGAAGCACCAGAGGCCCCAGGAGACCTTGAACTTCGGCGGGGAAAGGGTCTTGAAAGTGTTGGAGTAATTCGTGGAGCTCCGCATGACTGCTTTGTCATCCTGGAGCTTTGGCGTGTCCAACTGCCGGCCGGTAAGGGCAAGCATCTGGAAGTCTATGTCGATTCCACTTGGCTTCAGGGCGGCCGAAGGGCCTAGCTGTGCGTTTCTCACGGCTTGCATTATCAGGTCTCGTCGCCTGGAGCGGGTCATGGCAGTGCTACATGAGAGTCTCATCTTACATCTTTGGGATCTTGGCAGAAACAAACAGCGTCAAGGAAACTAAGTGCTGCAAACAGGTCATGACGCGGCTACCACGAAATATCATGAATGGATCGTATATCCTCTCCAGTCTCTCGACGATGGTATGAAGAGCTCTCCAGTCTTGAAACCAGGTTATCCCAGGCACGACCACGATCCGCGTCTCCGGCGTTTTCGCAAGCCAGTCCTCTGGCAGTGATAATTACGTTGCACACTGCAACGCTCTTGTCGAGTCTGAGGTGCACGGAGTTCAGAGAGGTTCAGCGGATCAAGGTTCAAGGCCCGCGCCGCTACGACTGGTGCGTTCCCAAACCAAGGACTCGTGCGGACAAACAAAAGAACTACCCACCAAGCCTCACCACGAACTCAGCCAGTGGCCAAAAACTCTTGTGTTGACGCTCTCCGAAGACTTGCCCCCACCCTCCCAATATTGAGTGCGATCCTTGAAGCCTTGCACCCGTTCCGCGAACTGGGCCGGGCAGAGGCCCTCCTTGAGCGCGGCTTCGGATCGTTCCAAAAGCGAGGTGCGGGGGCCTGTCTTCACGGTCCGAGGTTCAGAACTTGCCGTGTCATGCTGAGGGCTTCGTCTGCTGGACCCTTCGTACCCCGTATGAGTTCGAAAGCTGCATGCCACTACGCTCTTGGGATCTGAACCCTTGGCGACCTTTCTACACGAGGATGTGTAGAAGCAGTTCGGGCATTGGGCAGACGATGCAGGCCTTCTGAGTACAAAGTGCATCAGAAGCTCAGAGAGGAGGGGTTTCTTGCCTGTTTTAAGGATCCCATCTTTGAAGATAAGCGGGGCCTCCGATTTTTCTGAAGTTCCCGTGAGCTTGGAATCGCTGCCGCAGCTCACGCCCCAAGAACCCGCGCACAAAAATTCGGAAGAAATCCCGGGGCCGTGTTCTAGATTGGGCGTCCATGAAGGTGCCTCAGTCCAACCAGTGACCGAGAAGACTATATAACATGGGGGCCTTAATAATTAACTAGAATGCGGTTTTGAGGCCAGTATACGGAACCCCCAAAATAGCATTGGCAATTCCTTGCGCCTCTATACTAGGACCCCAAACAAGAAGCCACCCCGTCCCTACTCCCTGACACCCGTCGAGGCGCCATGGGTGTGCGCTCCACAAGCTGCGTCATCGCCTGAGCAGTGAGTGAGGGTGTTCTGCCCTTGCCCTCTTGCATCCGCTGCAGCAAGTGCTGCCTCGCAACTGCAGACTACAACGACTACTACTTGACTGCTGCGATGATGGTGACGGCGATGATGATTGCAATTGCAAACGCCGCTCAAAGATGATTCTGATTGATGCGGCTTTGGCTCTACCCCTCTGTGTCGCCGACACTCTTAAGACCAACAAGACCACCACCAGCAGCAACTGTCGCAAAAGCCCCGAAAAACACACTGTCATGAGACCTGACCCCTGGGCCACTGGGGCCCCCTGCTTTGCTTGGCACCTGCAGCTTGGCGGCTTGGCCGGCTTGGCTTCTCAGGGCTTCGGACCCGTCTTGAACTTTGCCGAGGCGCCTCGCTTCCGAAGAGGACCTCCCGCGTCCGCACCGCGCGACGCCGCGGGCTGAAGACGATGAGCTGGGGATCCGCCTCGGGCTCCCGGGCTCCCCGGGCTCCCCGGGCTCCCCGAAGTCCAAAGCCCCCCCCAAAACCTCGAACCCCCACGGACGGACCCTGGCCTTCTGAAGGAAGCTGCAGTCGGAAAGCTGGGCCTGAACCAGGAAAAACTCTCCGGCCGAAGCTCTCCGGGTGTGCGGGCTTTAGGACGAGAAGGCCTTAGGCTTGAACACAACTCAACACGGTGAGGGAACAGGAACCCCAGAAGTCTCAAAACCCACGGCCGCGAGGCTTCGAGATCCGGGAGCCCCGTGGTTTGCAGCTTTCGCGGGGCTTGCGATGTGCCAGTTTAGGGTTTAGAGGTTTAGGGGTTTCGGGTTCAGGGGTTTAGGGGTTTCGGGTTCAGGGGTTTAGGGGTTTAGGGCTTAGAAATTTCGGGTTTAGGGTTTGGGGTTTAGGGGTTTACTGTTTACGGGTTAAGGTTTGGGGTTCGGAACTTCTGCGGGTTTCGGGGCCTCTGAGCTAAGAGCTCTTCTGCTCTTGAAGAGATTTAGGTGTCTTGGGTCCTTACAGTAACCTTAACGTACCATTACGGTCACCTCAAAGAATCGAAATAACAGGCACCTCAAGGCCATATAATCACATTATGTGGATTCAGGGCTTCTGAGTCGCCGATTGCTGGCTCCCACCTCGACGTCCTTCAGCTGCCTCAGCGCCGGCATTTTTTCGCTCCAGAGGCCCACTGCGGATCAGATGCCCATTGCGATGACAAGGGTAGAGGAAGATGGTCGTGCTGATAGTGATCAAGACGATGATGACGCGGCTATAGTAGAATGGACCCCAAAACGGGTAGACCTGTGCTAAAATTTTCAACCTCCAAATCGCCAAGCCCGAAAGCCAAGCAGCCGCTCCCCTCGCATGGACAGTGGCCTCAGTCTCGCTCGTTCACCCTATCCCAACTCCCAACACCACGCAGCATCCTACGTAGTTAAAAGCTGAATGCGCGCTCAACTGGGGGCACGAGGTCCGTAGCCCGTTTGCACCGTGGCTTCCTCAAGCGTCCAAGCGCTGGGGGCCCGCGCGTGTCAAGGTCGAAGCACAGAAGCCTCAGCGAGGAGCAGACCTTGGCGACTTGGTTTCATGGGCTAGCCTCGGGAAGGAGGCTGGGACCTCCAGCATCACGAAAGCTCCTCTGCTCTATGAACCCGTTTACACGGTTCGCCTGGACTCATTCTCTCGCAGCGCTGTCGGTCTACCCCACCTACAGCGGAAAGCTTCAAACAAGCCCAGCGACATCGTCGCAAGCAGGCGCTTTCCAAGTTCGTAGCTGACCTGACGTCGGTCGGGGCAAGCAGAGGAATCCGCGTAGTTCGGCATCCGACACACATGAAATGCCACCAGCTGCGTCAAGTATGCGAGCGCAGGCTGCTTCGCAAGAAGACTCCCGACTCCAATAGTGAGATGGCTTCGGTCTTGAGTTTGAAGCGCAATCATCACCACAACCCCCCCCCCCCCAGATGCGGGCAAGCTGCCGAAGGCCCGGTCCAAGGCGTGCACACGAACCTCATCTCTCGGAAGCCAAGAGGGGCCCTAAAATCACGCACTTCAGAGATCTTCGGAGGTCTCAAAGAGCTGGTCGAGGCTCCAACTCGGCCCCTGAAGGAGAGTTTCCGAAAATTAGATGGGGCCCTTATAATTAGGATCCTACTAATATTTGGGGTACTAAATTAGGGTCGGGTTCTGGGCGATCGAAGAGCTCTCCAAGAGCGTTTCTGCCGCCGCGTAGCGTTCTCCATGGACTCGGCATGCCGCACCTCGGATGAGGCGCTTGGGGCTTGGGGCCTGAAGTTCAGGCGTCTCCCTCCTCCCAAAACTGTGGGAGAGAGAGATCGGAGCTTTGCGCTTGCGCTTCTTTCACCCAGAGCCCCGAGGCCCTGAGGCCATGACCAAGTACACGGTCTTCAGCTCCTCGGAGGGCTTCACCAGTGGGCTCCTGGAGCTCGATATGGACCTGGGGACGCCAAAAAGCGCCGCAGAAGACAACGGAGCGCAGCCCTCTGTAGCCATGAAAAACCCCTGCTGACTGCTAGCATGCTCCCCGACCCAAGACAGGCTGAAATCTTTCGGAGAGTGATGGAGCTCGGACTCCCATCCACTACAAGAGAGCTGCTAGTACCAGCACCAGCAAACGCATAGGAGGTGAACACATCATAGTGGGAGCAAGCCCCAGGGAAAACCGCCTCAACAAATCCGGCCTGGCATGGCTCGGGGCGCAGAGCTCCGTGTAACACCCGGGCCCAGGGTCCATGGCACGGCACTCAGTGCTTAGCTTCGGGGGCTCTTGGGCTTATTTATTGCAGGAGGGCTGCTTGACTTTGAGAGTTCGGGGCTCTGGGCTGCTGGTTCAGGAATATCGGGGTTCGGTGCAGGCACTGGGCTTACAGCACGCAGCCCCTGGGCGACGAGGGGCAGTGGTAACGTCTCCTGTCCCTTTCCTATGGGTGAACATCACCGGCATCGGACCACTTCGGTGCTCGGCAATTTTGTGTATCTCCGAGAACACTTCGTTGACTCAATAATTTCTTGAGCCACAAAAAACTGCCACGAGGGGCGTCCATTGGCGTCTCTGGCTTGGTCTCTAGCATGTTCTCTCAACCCTCGACTCTAGACGCTGCTGATAGAGGCCGAGTCTAAGCACTGAGGAGAGTCATAGACCCCTCGAGGGGCTGGAGCATATCAACACGGGGGTTTCCGAAAATAGGGGACCCTAATATAGTACCCTGAATAGTAGGATCCTTACTATAGGGGCCCCAAAATAAGGTGCACCCCCTATTTTCGGAAACTCCCAGATCATGGACCTTATAATAACGACCCTACTAATTAGGGTACTATATTAGGGTCCCCTAATTTTCGGAAACTCTAAACCCTTATAGGGCCCTTTAAAGGAACCCTCGTAGGTACCCTCATAGTAACCCCTTAAAGGTACCCCCCTAATTTCGGAAACTCCCCACATTTCAACATCGGGATCATCGGGTCACCCCGATGATCCGAGACTCGCCTCGAAAAGGGCATCAATCTTCTCGAAAAGGTTCTCATCGTCCATGATCTGGGAGTTTCCGAGAATTAGGGGTACCTTATTTAGGGGGGTCCTTATAGTAAGGATAATACTACTTGTGGTACTATATTAGGGTCCCCTATTTTTGCGCAGATGTGTGGGAGCTGTTGTGGCTATGATCTCCTGTTGGACTTTGAAATTCATTAGATGCTGCTTGCAAGCTTCACTGGGGTAAGGCCCGCTGTAGGGCTTTAATTGGGCTTCGGGTCTGAACTTTGGGACCGGAGTGGGGAGCAGCTGTCACACAAGACCTCCCTGTGCAAACATCCTTGGGACCCGATCGAATAGACATGCTGTCCATGCAGAGGTGTGTGTGTGGGGGTGCGCGCGGGGGAGCGAAGCTCCCTGTACCTGGTGTTGTTGAGGGAGCATCCTGAACCCTGAACCCCAAACCCCTAAACCGCTGGCTCGGGCCCCGGGGGGGGCCAAAGCGGAGCCGAGCTGAGTAGCTGACCCGGCTGCTGTCAACGCCGGGCATCAGGAACTCGTCCACTGCCACGTTGTCTGGGCGGTGCGCTGGCTAAGGGCTGAAAGAACGAGAAGGACACGAAGAGCCGCTCATAGTTACGCATGAACCCTACAAGTAGGGTAGCTATAACTATAACCCATATTAGGGGACTTATAACCCCACTTGTAATTACAAATTGAACCTCCAAGTAGACCCTGGGGTTGCTGAGGCTGCGGCTCTGCATAGCGGCCACGAGCTCCAGCTTGGAAATGGAGCCGCTGCCATCCGCATCCTCGGCGAAATCCTAGCCTGGCTCTTAGGGGCTTCCGAGGGTCTCGGGCTTTTGGGCCTTTCGGGTCAGCGCATCCCTGGCTTCCTCTTGGAAACCGCGGGCCTAGTGAATCTATCCGATCTTGGGCCCTTGGGTCGACGGCCTCAGCCGACTTTCGAAGTGGTTTCGGGGTTTATGGGGCTTAGGGTATGGGGGTTTAGCGAGGGTTTATGGGTTTAGAGGCTTCGGTTTCGGGGGTTGAAGGTTATAGGGTTCCAGCAGCTTCCGTGCTCGGGCCCGCGCGATGAGGTTGAAGATCTCCTGCATACGGTTCCTGAAGGCACGGCACGCCTAAACCGAAATCCTCAGATCTGAACCGAGACCCCCGCATGCTCCTAGATTCGATTCCTCGATCCCAAGCCAGTGAGCCAAAGACCTTCTGCCAAACAACTCCCCAAGCAAATCATCTTGCATGCATCGCTGAAAGGGATGAGTTCCGTCAAAACTGCCAGTCTCCGGGGAGGAGCAGGGAACATGAGGATTTGAGAATCTGAGGCAAGCCACGACCTGGGCGTCTTGTCCGTCTTCGCCTGAGGCCACGCACTTTGGAAGAAATCGCAGCTTTGCTGAGGATTCCCGCAGGCCTTCCGAACATGCTTGCAGAAGGACTCATAGTCGATGCCCTTCTTTCCGGCCGAGATCTCCTTCCGGGCCGTGAACCAAAGAATTAAGTTTGGGGGTTCCTGATGTTTTTTGTTGTATACTGGGCCCCAAAACCCTATTCTAGTTATCAAGGCACCTATAGTAATTGGGAGGTGTAGTGACAACTGGGCCCAACCCCAAGTGGTCCACATGCTTCACATCTGAGAACCCTGAGGAGCCAAGCCTGGAGCAGTAGCCCCAAGCATCTTAACCAACTCGGCTTGAAACCCCGTTGTTGGTGCCAGAAAACCCATGCGCCGGTCTTGAACCAAAGTTTTAAACCTTTCCGAGCGTTTGCCCCTTCCTCGAAGATGCTGTGCAGCTCGTCGAAGCTCTTCTCATCGCTGAGTAGCGAGTCTCCGTCAATCTCAGGAGACGGCAACGCACGGGACTGACATGCCAAGAACACCGTAAGCCAAGGGTACAATAGCGGAAATCAAGCATCAAAATACAAGCGGGATCAACCCGCAAACCCACTTCTGCAGATTGGTATGGAGCAGGCAAGCTCAAAGCCGTGATGTGACTGCGGCATAACACTGGATACACTGGTGGTAACACGCACGTCAATAGTATCCAAGGGGGTAGTTTATGCCAACGATATTACACGATTGTGGCCCGAGAGAGCCGGCTCTCGCGACACTCCTGAAAGAGAACTTCTGGTCGGCTCCTCCGGAGGCACTCAGAGGTGTCCCAAGCTTAGGGTTTCGGTATTCCTGGGCGCCGGATGGAGGATGGCCCACCGATCTGCAAACACAGCACAGGTGCACCCAAAGGGCCACCCTGAACCTACAAACGAACCCGGGAAGCCCCTTTCTTCCCCTTCTGGGCCCCGAAACCCTCAACATCCCTCAACCGCAGAACCTCAACCGTAAACCCTGAACCCTAAACCCTCAACCCTCAACTCCCTTCTCTGCTGGGTCCCCCACCCCAAGGAGTTGTGCGATGCTCTTGTCTTGGCTCACTGCCTTGGTCCGAGTCTCGAAAAGGTGGTCCCATTGGCAGTTGCTATCAACCTATACATAAAACAAAAAAGTATATATATATACACATTCATAACTATATACATATATATATATATACATATACATATGACTCTATATATACATACATGTACATATATATATATATATATATATATACATATACATATACATATACATATACATATACATATACATATACATATACATATACCTATACCTATACATATACATATACATATACATATACATGTACATATACCTATACCTATACCTATACCTATACATATACCTATACCTATACATATACATATACATATACCTATACCTATACCTATACATATACATATACATATACATATACATATACATATACATATACATACACATACATACATACATACATACATACATATATATATATATGTATATATACATATAACTATAGAACTTTATGTGTGTATATAGATTTATACTTGTATGCACTTATATGCATATATACATATACATATATCGGACTCCTGAAACGGACCGAAGGAAAGGGATTTGAAGGCTAGTTCCAGGAGGTTAAGGGCAGTGCAGCAATGAGCTCCAGCTTGGACACCACACCTGGCCGATTGTGTTGAACTGCATAGCGCGCAGCTTCTTGGGAAACGTTGTATACGACTCACGTTTCAGCCTGCTGATTCGCATGGTCTGGCCTCGGCAGGCCACAAGACTTAAATTTTCAGAAGGGTGTATTGGTAGTTGTCCATGTTCGATGATACCGTAAAGGCATGTGCCAGAAACGATGATATGTTAACACATGCCTCTTTGTGCACGGAAAGAGAAGAGAGAGAGAGAGAGAGAGAGAGAGACAGAGAGAGGGAGGGAGGGAGGGAGAGACGGAGAATCCTAAGCCCCAAGCCCCAAAACCCTGAACAACCCCAAAGCTCGCCGTTGGAGTTCTTGTCCAGCTTGGCGTAAATGGACCTCAGCTCCAGGTCGGAGACTGCCGGGTCCGCTTCCTGGCAACTTGGGCTAAGGAAAAACAACGCTTCGAGACTGTTTAGGGTTAAGGGCCTACGGTCATCATCATCATCATCAGCAGCGTCATCATACCCATCATCTTCCTCATCATCTTCATCACCATCTTCATGGTCATCATGCGAACGAGAACAAATCATGCAGCAAAAAATGCAATGTAGCAATGATAAACAGAATAATAGTGACAACAAAAGAAACTGGCCGAGGAGGTCGTAACCATGGCACATTTAAGGGTTCCAATACTACCAACATTGCACTGGCTGCTGCATGTTCTATAAGAACTTTGATACGGATACACCGGGCCATGCAACTGTATATCTTATGCGAATTAAGTACATGCGGCAGATACCGACATGTGAAAGCCCTTCAAGATCTATGACGGATTGACAATACACTTATCATTCCATGTATCACAAACTGAACACACACATACGGGTACATACCCAGATGTAAGCATGTGAGCACGTATGCAGGCATTCATATGCAAGAATGTGTATGTGTGTGTGTGTGTGTGTCTGAGTGTGTGCAAGGGTGCGCGCATGCCATGATATGTGTGTATATGCATGTGCGTAAGGATGCGTGCACGAAAGTAAGGGCACGGGCAGGGGTAGGGGCATGTGTACGGATACAGGTAGAGTATGTAAGAGGAAGTATACGTGTAGGTATGTATTCACATATATACATACATACTTATTTATTTATGTGTAATGCACATATGTATGTGTATGTATATATATATATATATGGAGAGAGAGAGTGCATTGCATCGCGAATCACTGCATTCATGGCACAGATGTATTTGCTAGCACCATGGGTTGCTGTCCGACGCTGTTGTTGTTTCGCCCACTTCGGTTGTTTCGGACGTTGGCTGTGAGGTCTTAGGAAGTCCGGACTTCAGGACTTTCAAGATGAGCGGAGAGGGGAATCAACTGCAAAGTGTAGATCCACAAGTCATAATCGCCGATGTCTACAGAGCAACATCTATGTTGCACGACTACTTCACACAAAACAGAAAAGTCGAGGTCCTCCGAAATCCGAAAACGTGTTCTTTCAACACTCCAAGACCACAAAAGCGCTGTAAATACCAGCGAGCTTCTTGACTGGAGCATCATGTTCCGAAATCGACAACTTCACGTCGAAATTGGCGCAAAACCAACCGGTTAGCAACCCTTCAAAAGAACGGACCACCTGTTTCAAGCCCTGGAACGACCCAAAATGTGTCTGAAACTGAAGTGAAACCACGAAGCCCAAATATATATATATATATATATAGATAGATAGATAGATAGATAGTTTGTTAGTTAGATATATACACACGTACATACATACAAACGCACATACATACATATGCGTGTATATAAATATCTAGATTTGTACACAAATACGTACTACAAATACAAAAACAAATACACATACAAATAGAAAATGGAAATGCAAATACATGTACATACATATACACATACATATATGTACTATACACATACATAGACATAGACATACGCATGGGAATAGACAGTACCTATCGTCGAGATTGCTGCGCCTGCTTTTCCGCAGGCACGGAACACCCTCTAGACTTCCAGATACGCGCTCCTCAGGTCCACTGGCAAAAACAAACCAAAAAAACTGTTCACGGTAGTCGGAAGTTGCTTTGGTTTTTTTGGCTTCCGCCACAGGTGACGTGCCTCTAGAAGCAGATATACATATATAGACATATTATAAAATTGATGCTGATGTCTTTCGATGAGATGCAAGACTTGGACAAGCCAACCAAAACAAGTCCATTCAGCCACAACCCAACACACCGCATATCATATCCCACCTCCTCCGTGTACTGCTCATAGCTGGCATTGCCCTGCAGGAAACTTTACGTTCCAAGACAAGCTCCCGGACGCTTCCATCAACAGCTTTCTGAGGGACGCGCGAAGGAGACTCCGCTTCGGAAGTCAACCTTTGCATTATAGGGGTACCATAATATGATAATAGAGGGGCCCTCATAATTACATATACTGTTTTGGGTTTTCCCTACTATAGCTCTACCCAGGCATCGCAGCAACCATGGCCGTGCAGGCTGGGCTGTCGTGAAGAGCGCTGCGAAGATCCAGCCGACATCCGGTAGCCAAAGCCCACGACCCCCTTTTTTTAGAGTAAAGCCCAAATCTGTGCTGAAGCCCGGGAAGAATGTGCGAAAAACCCTGTTTTTTGGGTCCTGGCGTCTGGAGGAGGTGCTGCGCGGGGGCCTGTGGAGCTTTCCGTGGGCTGCAGACCACCCCAGTGCTGATGAAACCCTTGAGCGAGCCTATTCAGGGTTGGCGGGGTTTTGCGGGGAGTTTGGGGCTTCATACGGTATAAGGGCCCCTGTTTCAAAACCCAAACCTACAAAGCTCCCTTCTCAAAAAAAAAACATATTCAGCCAGCTCAGTCAAGGCAGGATCGACGGCATCTGTTTTAAGCCTCGAGCGAGGGCTCATGAAAAAAGAGTCGTGCAACAGAGGGGCCCAAATGAGTCACGGTGGCATTCCCCGATGATCCCTAGCTTCGACTGCAAGATCACTTGGGCCCGTCTACTCTGGATTCAGGCATTGCAGGAGTAAAACACATCATGAAAAGACCTCCTTTGCCCATATAGGCCCTAGGTCTGAAGAGCAGATGCATCCTGAGGAAGCGCATCTCCGATTGAATTCCAAGTGGGAGCTTCCCAAAAATAGGGGGACCCTAATATAGTACCCTAAATAGTAGGATCCTTATTATCAGGGCCCCAAACAAGGTACCCCCTAATTTTCGGAAGCTCCCAAGTGGCATGCTGCGCAACGAAGTGTCAAGGCCGCTGCTGCAACACGCAAGGGAACGAGTAAGAACATGTTGTTCTTCATTGACTGCTGTTGCGTTCGCTCCTTTCTGAAGAGACTTGAAACAGTTCAATGAAGTCGAAAAGCGGATTAGTGATGTAAGGTAAAAAGCCATTAGCTTGAAACCCGGACGAGGACAGTCTTCTACTGGTGCTACAATACATCGGCTTCAGGGAGTGGCGTTCTGGCTTTTACCGTACACTTAGCTCTGTAGCACGAAAACAGGCGGACACCCATCTGTGGTGTCGAGCTGCTTGGGAAAGTCATGTCATGAAAGGCTATTAACCGCATCGTTCCAGGAGTTGTGTTCCAACTTGTCCATGGCACGATAAAAACAAAGACCAGTCCTGCGCTGTCATGCACAGCAGATCCGAAGCATTCCGAAGCTTTCCCTAGGTGCGAGGATGGCAGTGTCTGTGCTGGTAGGAGGGCACGACTGCTCGAATCCAGTTGGGTGCCCTCATCTCGGCCAAAAAGCTTTCCAAGTCTCGACCTTTGCTGTCTTTGCAAGTCGGGTCAGCTCCAAACTGGAGCATGATTTGAACCATGCGCCAGTCCTTCTTCTGAACTGCTTGGTGCAGCGGGTATGTGCGTCGAAACCCAAATGCATGCATCTTCGGCATGTTCAGGCCCAGATCTTCTCGGCAGCTGCTGAAGCCGTGCTTCTTTAAGAAGTCCAAGACGTCCGACTTTGAGTCCGCCAACTGCGATCTTTCCAAGCGGCGAAATCTGCCGTCTCGATGCTTCTTCGCTGCAGCGGCCACCGCCACGGCCCCGAAGCAGCTTCTGAATTCATCATCTTCCTCGAGCTTGAAGCGGCCGCCGATCTTCTGAAAGACGAGATCTGAGGCGAAGGCCATGGCGAGCTTCACAGGATGAGATGAGGATGGATGGGATGGATGAGAGGATAAACTGCGAACGGTCACACAGACCCAGCCTGTGGTGCCCTGACAGAGAAGCACTTCTCAGGCCACTTCTCAGGAAGAACCCTTCCCACAACAACTTCTTTAAAGGCACAGGATCCACCTTATCTTATCGTAGACTGGACTGTAGACTGGCCTGCCTGCTGCCCCTGAGTCGGATATGAGCTTTCTAACCAGCATACCCCGAACTCCCGAACTTCAAACCAGAAACCCTGTGCCGGACACGAGCCTCCGAAACGTCAAGCTGGAGGTGTGTATGTAGGAATATCCGCTTCGCGGAAACCGGAAACCGAAGCTTGCAAACACCAACCAAAGATCCGCTGAAATCTCAGACCTTACCCATAAACCCCCCAAAAATCCCAAAGCTTTGTCCCCCAATTTTCCGAAACCCACCGAAACCCTGCACCCCTGAACACCACTCAAATCTTGAATGGTTTACCTTAACCCCAAATAACCGACCTTTTTCAGGAATTATATGATGAAACCGTAACAGGGAACCCTCAAAAGGTAGGTTCTCCAGGGTCTAGGTAGGGCTTAGGAGAACTATGGCGGGATGCTCTTACCTTTGGTTGGTAGGGAATGGATGAATGGTAGTAATGGTAGTTATAATTGGACCCTATTCCTCCATGCCCTACTAACCAAGGGTAAGTTAGCAGAACTATGCCTAAACCCTAAACCCGAAACCCTAAACCTATACTCTGGGTGAGCCTGTTCTCGCCATGAGCGGCAGCCCGGGCGAGGTGGGCGACGTCACTCCTGGGGAGCTGCTCCTGGCGCCAGAGTTCGCACGGACGGGGGGGGGCAGTTTCCGAATTCTGGGGGTTACCTCATTTTGGGGGGTTAGGGTTTGGGGTTTAAGGTTAAGGGTTTAGGGGTACCTTACTTCGGGGTCCTTACAGTAAGGATCCTACTATTTAGGGTACTTTATTAGGGTCCCCTATCTTCGGAAACTCCCAAGAGAGACAGAGCGTTTCGAAAAGCACACTCGCTCAAGGCAGGCACGGATCCAGACAAGAGGGTCTCACAGCCGCAGAGGGGGTGGTTTAGGGTATCAGGGTTTAGGGCAGCTAAGGTTTATGCAGGCCTTTCGGAAGTCGCAGGGCTCTCAGGAGTTTAGGGCATAGGGTTGCTGGATGCAAGGGTCCATACCTTCGTCTTCAGCAGGGTTTACAGCTCTCGAGATTCCCCACCTATCCCTCGAGGAGCCCGTCTTCGGCAAAGGGACCTCGCTTGAGGCAAGGGAGTGGAGCCCACGTGGGCTTCTCTGCTTATGTCGGCTCTCTGGCAGATGTCTTCGAAACCTGCCAAAGATCACCCGGCGGTACTCCCGGAGACCCAGAGTCTCCCGTGCTCTGGGCTTGAGCGGAAGCGCGCCGCGGGTTAAGCCCGCGACGCCAAGCTGGGGCGAGGCCGCCCGGTACCTGTCATGGAAACTCCCGACCTTCTACTTCTACCTCCGTTCCGTAACTTTACACCCTTGTCAGCTATAGTTATGCAAGGACAGTTGATCGCACGAAGACTCATGATAAACTTCGAGGCCCGGGCGGCTGGGCCAGGGTCTGTGGCCCTCGGTAGACCTCTGGCGCTTCCCTTCCGGGGGTTCAGGGGCCTGAGGCTTGGGCTCCGCAAAGCTGCTTTGGACTGGATGGTTTATGGGCTGCAGCTGTAGGCCAAGACGGCATCTGAGCTCCACGCGTGCCCACCCACCCTGGCTTCAGGCTCAAAGGGGGGTCATGGCCGCGGCGGGGTGATCGAACCGAAGAAAAACCTCTTTTTGCTACCCACACTGAGACCCTCAAACCCCGTCAAAATACATCCCCACCGGAGATGATGGCAGGATGTATCATGCTGATGCTGCACTTGATACCTCTAGAAAGCGAAGAAGGTTAGGGGCTCTGCGGCTGCCTGCTCCCGGGCTTCGAACAATGTAAGGATTTCAGCATCGCAAACACCGTGGGCAACCCCGACCAAAAAGCAGAAACCCTAAGACTCCCAAACCTAAAGCATATGCCGGGCTCGCGCGAAGTGGCTCGCCGGTGCCCCGTAGCCTGCGACTTCTTTCGAAGCGGCTCTGGGTGCTTTTTGGGTCCTCTATAGCCCAGAGCAACTCATTCGAGTCCAGGGCCCTGAAAACTTGCTGCACTTGAAGGTATCCGAAGTTCCCGAGTGTGGGAGCAGGGCTGTCGCCCGAGAGTAGGGCACCAAAAGTGCGATTCCGCATGCATGAAGTAGGTATTTGCGGATGCCCCTAAAGAACTAGAGATCGCGGCATAAGTGCGGCCCTGTCTGTGTGATTGAGGGCCTCCAGCCTCAACTCGCAATTTTCTCTGCAAATTTCTGTTGGCGTTACTTAAGAAGGGCAAAAAGGGCCACGCCTGGCTGCATGGCGGCCATGATGAAATCGCTTCCAATGGCCGAAAGCACTAAGGAGTTCAGGTTGTAGAGCAGGTTCGAGTTCAGGTTGTCGAGCAGGTTCGAAGCTGACACTCACGAAAGCTTTCAAAGTACGGTGGGGGTTGGGCTTCCATGTGTTTCCTAACCTTTTCCAGGCTGCAAAGTGCAAAGTGCAAGGTGCACTTGGACTCATTCGCTGACGTGGCTTCGATGGCTTGAGGTGCAATGCCCTTCCGGAAATCTTACTTCAAGAGGATCCCAGCATCGAACCGTCATATGGGAGCTTCCGGAAATTAGGGGTACCTTCTTTTGGGGTCCTTATAGTAAGGATCCCACTATTCAGGGTACTATCGGTACTATATTAGGGTCCCCTACTTTCGGCAACTCTCATATGTCTCCCGCAATGCAGCATCCTTCAGACAGCACGTGTCTTCGCCGGACCGAGTCGCTCAGAGTTCCCACACCAGTGGAGCTCGCATGTTTCATGTGCCTCCGCCGGCTTTCCGGAAAATACTTTAAGGAAGGGCTTTCCGGAAGAGCCCCGATAATTCGAATCTCCGAGCTTCGATGGGTGTCCGTCTGTAGGGCACCCATCAAAGGCTGACTTACCGTGTGCGGCGCACGTAGGGGGCTCCTAGCTTCAGCTTGGCCAGCCTGGCCCTACAAACCACCGCTGCAGCGCACTTCGTGTCACTGCCTCTGGTATCGTCAGCAGATTCTCAAAACTTCAAAACGACGAATAAACCCCCGTCAAGAAAGGCTGACGGCCTGGACGGGACTCGGGACGGCAGCAAGCAATCCCTGCTACACCATCCCCCAAAACAGACAGCTGGCGCATCTGCTTGCGGGAGCCTCAAGCCACTCGCTATCACATGCCCTTGAGGTCGAAATCACAGAATGAAAAAACATAGTATAGTATATTATAGGTATAATATGGCATAATATAGTATCATAACATAGAATATGGTAAAGATATAGTATATTATAGGTAGAATATGGCATTCTACCGTATCATAAAGTAGAAGATGCTGTAGACTCGGCCGCTTGCAGTGGCCCAGCTGCATTCCGGCCGATCACGGCTCGCCGGAGCTGTCTGACCAGCATCGTCTTCGGGCTAAAGGAGTCTAAGGCTGTAGGGGTTTAGTGATTTATAAGGGTTTAGGGTTTAGGGGGTTTGGGGGTTTAGGTGATTGAGGGTTCGGGGTTTAGGGATTAGGGTTTAGGGGGTTTGGGGGTTTGGGGGTTTATAGCATATTTTTTATCGCGGTTTAGAGGTTTAGGGATTAGTGTTTGGGGGTCCTGGCTTAGAACAAAATTAGTCGGACGGCATCCAATCGGCAGCGACGGCTCATGCATTGCCGACTACGTCCTTGCAGACGAATAATCGAATTCCGACTATCAAGGCAGTAGGCTAGCTGCCGAAATAACCCACTTCCCTCACCAAAAAACGAAACCAAAAAAACGCTACAGAAACACCAAAGCCCAGATCCAACAAATAAACCACATAAACCCTTAAACCCTAAACCCTAGAAAACAAACCCAAAATAAAAAAATGTAGAACACCTCCTGCCCAGAAGGGACTCAGCACACTGCGGCGACTGGGCTCATGCCTCGGTAGATCCAGATGCCTGACCCCATACAGTAACAGTCCATCTGTGTATATATCTATACATAGATACACATATTATGTGTGGATATAGATTTATACATATATAGATTTGTATATTATGCTTTGTATATATATGTATGTACATATATATATATGCATATTATATGTATATATATATATATGTATGTATATTTACATGTGTATATATATAAATATATGTATATGGAATTATGGAAAGAATACAACTCAACTGTTACTGAGTGATGGCAGTTGCAACAAGTACAACTTCTCTACTTCTCTTGTGAAAGGGCTCATGGAAGCACGGTATTAACTCGTTGTTGAAGGTTCAGGGTGAAGGCTTAAAGATTTTTGCTTGAAGGTTTTGTCCAGTCTCCGAGAAATGTGGTAACACTGTGGGATTTTGGCCTTCAGTGTGGAGGGATTAAAAAATACTTCGCCCCCCCCCCCCCCCCCAGATACACTGATTTCGTTGCAAAATCTTCCTGCTCCCTGCCGCCTCAAATCATCTCTCGAATCACTACAGTCTTAACAAGGCCACCCCCAGAGCCAAACTCAAAAATCCGCATGAGATGATTCTGTACAAGCCCCGGGAAAGATGTATACTGCATACAGGACTCCCCACCCAGGAAGTAAGAATCCGACCACCAGCCTCCTCCAGTCCTGCAGCCTGCAACTGGTGGGAATAGGATGGCTCCAGGCCTTTTCCCTTGATTTTCGGGTTTCGAATTTTGGGTTGAGGGCGATTTTCCACTTTGCTTCCAGGGTTTGGGATTAAGAGGCTCAGCACGTACAGGATATGACTCAGCACTGCCGGTGTGGATCCAAGTGAGGCGAACAGCAGGCGGGAAAAAGATAGAATCCGCATGCACAAGTCCTGAAAGTCCTTGAGCCTCAATGGGCGCGAGGTTGCCCGAAGGTGGGGGCATAGACCCGCGAGAAGATCACACGGTTTAGATGTTTGCCAGTTGACTCTCTTAGTGTGGTACAGGCAGTGCTTCAAAGGCAGGAAAACCTGCTTGGCCATGAAGCCCTCGCTATTGACTCCCGGCACAACATGCCAGCTCGTCAAGTGTACAACGCGTGTCCCTCACGTGCAACGTTAATTCCGTGCTTCCTGCGAAGCTGACCGTTTCGGTGTGCATTCCTATCTGCGTCTACACCATCTTTTCCTGCCATCCTAGCCATCTGACATAATGAAACGCTGCTCTAAGTCAACTGAAAATAAAGAGAATGCGACATCAGCTTCAGCTCGTCAAGTTCTATCCAGCCACTGACGCCATACAAACAAACAACAACTTCATAATTACCTATACTATTTTGGGGGTTCCTTCTTATAGTCAGAGTATAATGGGTCCCAGAACCCTACTCTAATTATCAAGGCCCCTCAGGCCCCTATGATAGCCTCAAATCCAAGCCGAATAGCACGAACACACATCATGAGCGGGAGCAGGCCGCGTTGTTGCCCACATGAGGTGACGAAGTCAATAAAATCTGCGCAGCTGATGCTCAAGATGACCGGAATGGCCCCTTGGGTGTAAAAATTCAATGCCAAGATCCTGGGCATCAGCTCTGACGGCTCCGCCTGGGGGTCCCTTGACCTACCGCTGGTTAGTAGGGAATGGAAGCATGGTAGTAATAGTAGTTATAGTTGTACCCCATTCCTCCATTCCCTACTAACCAACCGTAAGTTAACCAAGTTGATCTGCAGCACTGACCATCCACGCAGCATCAGCTGAGGGGGTTGCTTGGACCACTCAAACCGGGGATGATCATGGCTGGGTTGACTGGTCCACGCAACCGGAACGGCTGACGCTGATGACGCTCGGGTTTGGGACCAGGGAACCCTTTCAGGTGATGCTCATGATGCCGTCCTTGTGTGTGTCGCGCTTCTGCTAGTACCCAAGAGAGACACTGTGCTATTGCGACAGTCATCGGTAGGACGCATGTCAAAGGAGCAAAAGCAGCGTCAACGACTCACAACTAAAGAATATGAACTGCAACAGCTTCCTGCACGCCGGTCCCACACACATGTCACATGAGTGAAATGGGCACCGGCCTCTTCTGAGCAGGAAGATAAGGCACTGTAGAATGACCTGCAAGGCATACAACCCCGATCCTACATCATCTTTGAGGACTGTAGCATGAGCTTTAACGAAAGTTGCGGATCTGGCTCCCGGACAGCTGGCTCTTCACCGAATCATCTCCCATACGAGGTACCTCTGCGAAAGCACAAGCACCCCTCGCGAGTCGGGTGCGGACCCCGGCATCCGGGTTTTTCGAGCGCCGCACTAGCAAGCAATGCCTCGGCGATGTCTGCGGCGATGCCTGCATGCATTCCGCCATGAGGAATGGGAAGTAAATGTGGGAAAACATGAAACGGCGGTGCCTTTGGGGACTCCTTCTCCAAATGTCGCCGTGCCGGACTGGGTAGACGTAATGCGCACCAACAAATTAAACGCTGGTGCCAAAAAGAATTCTCAAAACTCAGGCGGAGACACCGGAAGCGTTACCTTCACTTTCCTGACTGCAGGTGACGTGGATGATTTTCCAGTCCGCCCTGCCCCCCCCCCACCCGCTTTGCCACGCCCCCGCCGCTTTGCTCAAGAAACCCATGCTGGGACCTCCCGATAAAACCCGACGCAACCGAAGCAGAGCCCCAAGAGAGAGTGATGCTTAGGGCCGGCCTCGGTGCTCCGGGCGCGAAGACCTCCCAATAAAAAATTCCGTCGGTGCTTGCCCGGAAGCTTGCATTGCAGATTTCAGCCGGGATCCTAGATTGTGCTTGAGATGGTTAGGGCGGTGAGGGGTCGTTATGAGAAGAGTTCACAATTTGGGCACATTTCGGAAGTGGTGCCAGGACGCCTGGATGCGAGGCGATGGCGGCGCAGAACCCTGCGTCTCGTCTTCACTGCCTCGCTCAAAACATCTCGGGAACATGATCTCATGAGGGAACGTATCATCGGTATACTTAATGCCCTCACGAAAAATGGTCCTGCAGGGGTTGATGAAACAGAAACACGGGGGAAAAACACTGGGGATCGTGAAAATGACAAGTGGTACGACGACCCGCTGTGCTATTTGCACCAGTACTTGTGTTCAGTCGCCGTCGGCGTCTCGCCTCAACTCTGCAGGGTCGGGAAAGGTTTGGAGGCGTCAGAATGCCCTTGCTGGACTCCCTGCGCCTCCACCCCCCACGACAGAAACCAGGCTCTCCTGGCCGTGTGAGCTTTTCTCCTCTCTTCGAAGCTTCCAAAAACTGGGAGGGGGGGGGGGGGGCTCAGAGCCTCAAGGAACCTTCTCTCGGGCCTCGATCCGTTTTGGGGGGTGTCGCAAGAGTCAGCTCCTCGGAGGAGCCGTGGCCGGAGTAGGTCTTCATCTCCGGAGCTGAGCTTCCGGGCTCGGCCTTGGCCTCGGAGCTTTTGAGGGTGCAAGTATGGGTGGTTTAGGGTTTAGGGGGTTTCGGATTTAGGTCATTCTTTTTTTTGGCGCCTGTTTCCTGTGGGTCCGATTTCGGGTTTAGGGTTTAGGAGTAACGAGGCATGTCCTTGGCCACCCGCCCAGCTGCAGAATGTGCAGAGGCATTCAACCGGAAAGACCGGATTTGGCCACTACCCTCTCAAGACCTCGACGAAGCCCGGCAAAGCAAAAAGACACCTGAGGTTCTGACATCCGGCTGAGCCGGGGAACCCCAGCCCTGCCTCAGCAAGCTTCGGCAATCCTACTGTTTAGGGTTTTTTTCCCTCCTACCTAGCAAGGACGAAGCCCGCATTGCAGGGTGTCTGTTTGGGGTTTAGGGTTGAGGGTTTACTGTTTAGGGTTTTGGGTTTAGGGCAAACAAACTCACTATCGCTTCAATACAGGCCAAGCAACGCTGAGCCCAGCCAAACCAAGCCAAGCCAACCAACAGAACTCTCGATCCCCGTGTCTACTTGGAGGTTCATGGGTAAATACAAGGGGAGTTATAAGTAGGGTAAGTACAATTATACCTTATAACCCATATTGGGGGACTTCTAACCCCACTTATAACTACCCATGAACCCTTTTGCATCCCTTAACCTTGAACCCTCAAGAAAATGATAAATGAACCTCCAAGCAACAGAAGACGTATTTATCTGGTTCCGGGACCCTCGGCCGCTGGGCCCTTGAGGCCCAGCCACTGATGCCCCAAAGCACCAAGAGAGTTTCCGAAAATTGGGGGGGTCCCTTATTTGGGGGTCCTTTTAATAAACCCTACTATTTTGGGTGCCATATTAGGGTCCCCTATTTTCGGAAACTCCCCTAAGAGAGTCTAATCGGAGAGGCGACTGCGCAGCTGTACAACGCATCGGACTCCAGCAAAATGCAGTTGGTGCCTGGTTCGACTCCTTGGGCCTCATACTCACGTGCCTGGTGGAGACTTCTGATCATCGAGTCAGGCGCCAATGGGTTGCGCAACCCATCCATCTCTGGGCAGTCATGGGAAACCTATCCGAGAGACGGGCTGCGCCCAAGCGTTGCAAGCTTTGTCGCGCTGCCGCTGGCAGCCAAAAGACAAAAGTTGACTGGGGAAAGTCTGACACTGGAAAATCCTTGGCGGACCCGTTAGACTCCAAAGCCACGGAATTTTCTCCTGCACATTTTTGTTCAGAAGTCGTCGTCGGGTGCCATGTTGTCCATCAGCAGATCGCCTCACCCAGGCACATGCGGGTTGTTGGTGAGCCTGAAGATTTCAAGCCTGAAGGCCTGATCTTGAGGTGCACATTCCTATCTTCTGGTTGGCTTCAGTTTTACCATGTCACACATCGACTCGCCAGATTCACGCAGTCTCTCACTTCTCGATAGAGGATTTGTAACAAGATCCGATTCTCCCGCTAGAGGTGCGGGAGCCTGCTTCCTCCATGAGCTCTCCGGCCTCTTCCGCCATGAGAAAGTTCTGCCTTGTCTGCCCGCGCACCCCCCCCCTCCTAGGACCACGGTCCTGTGAGCTCGTAGGGCCTCTCTGGAGCACGAACCGCCTGCGACAACCCCTGATAAGAACGGGAACGAGAAGGTTCAACGATAGAAGTTCGATTGATTTCGCACCATGCTCAAGCTTTGCCTCACAGTCTCGGCACCAACATGCAAACGACATGGGGCCCCACGTACACACGACGCTCTGTGCATGGCAGGCTGCACCCCCGCGAGCATGTCCGAGAGAGCCGAGCCCTGGCACGAAAGCGAACATAACTTCGGCCCCAAGCTAAGGCAGAAGTCTACGTGCCTGCAGGGTCGAAGGCAAAGGAGCGTTCTTTGGGGAGCTTTACCGCTCACTGAGACACCATTGCAGATTGCCTCCCGACAGCAGCCCTTTCCTAAGTTCCACTCGCGGAGGGGCCTGGTTCTGGTCTGCGCATCCATAGCCACCATAGCCGGGCACGTCACGATCCATTGATTTCCTGGGCACTGGTCTACTCCCGATCTAGTTCGTAAGATTCCTTCACCCCAGTACTCCCAGCTGAAAGCAGTCGGCCTGACAGCCTGTGTCTCAGCCCAGTCGCGATGGCATCTGCCCAGGTTGTGGCGGGGGTGTGATCTTGTCCACCGAGAACGGAGTGTTCAGATCCAGGACTAAGCTGGACGCCAGCTGTGGTACTTGGCTGAATCCTTCACGAGGCAAGGCAAAGACTATGGAAGAATGAAAGGGCAGAGCCTTGGTTCCTTGCCGATGTCGGCTTCAGAGCTGAATTCCGAGCAGCTCTCGGTGAGAATTGGTGGGGGGAGACAATCAAAAGAGCGGCTCATCCAATAACCTCTTCGTGGACCGCTAAGGGTTTTGCTTCCCCACGCGGTCCGTCCTGCGCTGTCCAGCCGCTGCCGCAGATGCTCCAAGAGCTGCACATACCTTGTTGCATCTATAGGCTACCTGTGAATTTTCATGTGCATTGATTCATTGATGTGCAACCTCCATGGCGGTCGATGATCTCATCATGATGGGTCTTCGGATTGAGGCAAGCGCGAGACGAACACCGACGCGTGAAACATGCGATCTCAAAAGCTTGATCCACCGTCCACGCTCTAACACGTGTAGGGTTCAAGGGCTCAAAGTAATTTGATCGAAATCAAGGGTCCTGCTTAGAGTCTTAGAGGGCTTGGCATGGCTTCGAAAAAGCATCTAGAACATGGACATGGCTGCAGCCTTTCAGGCTAATGCCCGTCGTCACATCTACGCAGCACCTAGATCAAGATCTGGGGGCAGACAGGATGCGCACAGGGTTCAGACTGGCCTCTGCTCGGCATGCAGCTTCAGCTCGCAACATTGCCCCCTTACTTGGGGTTTCTTGGTTTTAGGGTTTCTTCCCTCCTTCTTCGGCCGGGGGTCGTCTCCTCGCCCTGAGTTTGCATCGCCTCAATGAACGCCGAGGTCAGCGCACCTCCAGCGGAAGAAGAAGAAGAAGATGCGAGAAGACCGGTCGTAAGAGGGCGAACCATGACATCTCATGACGGCACCTAGTCGCCATCACCTAGCGCCATGATGTTTACCGACAACAACATCTGATTTCCCACTTCATGCCGGAGAGCGACACTGTCAAAGAATGGTAGTGCTTACCATGTATGAATACGCATGTGTTCAACCGGAAGCAAGCGTGTGCCCTTCGAACCGCCTCCAAGCCCTCCTGGTATAGGGGCCTCAAAAAATTATCTATACTACTTTGGGGGGTTCCTTCTAATAATTATAGTCTAATGGGCCTTAAAAACCGGGCCCATATGTTAATCATCGATTCCCTTGGGGAGATTCCAGCCTCCAGCCCTGCCAGCGCCCTCAAGCAGCAAGTGTCCTCCTCTTCTTGGAGGTTCAGGGGTAGTTGCAAATCGGGTTATGATTAGGGTAACTATGTTATAGCTCATATTATAACCCCACTTAGAACTACCCATGAACCTCCAAGTTCAAGAAGGACAAGATGCCATGCAAAACGCAACTGAAGCGGTAGCCGCCGTGCAGTGCTTCTCGGGTTTAGGCCATGGTTCTGGGGACAAAGAACTGCAAGAGCTAAAGCCTCAGTATTTGCAAGCACCTGCCCATCTAAGAACCACCTTCAGCTCGCTGTGCATCTGCTTCTTGCCATCGCCGAACCGCAAAATCAGCTGATTCTAAGAGCACACAAGGCAAAGAGCACTCTGCTCCCTGCCTGCATTTGCCGCACCCTGGGTGGGCTGAAGCCTCGGGATGCCAAAGCCAAGAGCTGCGTAGGGATTCTGAGATCAGTGCTAGGGCACCCCGAAGAATCGCTCGACGACTGATTATAATTCCAAAGTCTCCAAGACCAGTATTATTGTGGTTATTGTCCAAGGAGGTTATGGCTGTTTCTGCCTCCTGCATGGCTGAAGGTTATGACTATGATACTACTAATTAGTGCAATAGTTGTGGGTGTTGCTCTGTAAATTTGTCGGAAGGCTGGAACTGGGCTCCCACATCTCCGACGTCGGCACTCGTTTGCTCGGAGGCGCAACCTGTGAAGGCCACCACCTCGCCCTTGGTATCCACGGGGGGAAAAGGGTATCTTAAAATTCCCAGATGCTACTGGCGATGCTTCTCCAGGCTTGGTGTTTTCGGGGCACTGAAACTCCTCGCCCCTCCCATGCCCCGATAGAACCGAGGAGTCTCTCTCCAGCTGCGCCGAGGAGCAACCGCCACGCCCGCATTCTCGGCCTCATCGGTGCGAAAGCCCTGCTCGTTGGCCTCCCGGGTCTCACTATATTTGCCCCAAAGGCTCCAGAGGTCCATTCCCATGGAGGCCGCATCCGAGAGCAGCATGGCCGGATCGTCACTGTCCTGCCAAGCCTGCCAGTCCTGAAGCCAGTTCTTTGACATCACCATCTGCGCAGCTTCGCCAGCCAAAGCAGAGGCTAAGTTCTCCTGAGTACCAACGAAGATAAAGGGCAGGTCCAGTACACCGCCGCTGTGGCAGCTGTCAAGGAGACACGTGAGTCGGCAGCCACTCGGCAGGGGCCGAACCAGCGTCTCGAAGAGCTCGGAGTCCAAGAGCATGCCCTCGGCATCCATGTCCACTGGGCAAAGTGTCTCATGCCACTCGCTGCGCCCGTCCGATCGGGGCATTCGCCCACCGTGGCCGGAGTAGTGGAACAGCAAGGAATCCCCTGGCTGGGCATCTTGGGTTAGCCAGGCTATGCCCTGCCTCATGTTGGCCAAGGTCGGGTGAAGGTGCTGCGGCCAGTCTGGCGCATCAACAAGCACGCGCCGGCTCTCTGCATCACTGGGAAACCCCAGCTTGTCCAAGAGGGGCAGCATGCGCTGGACATCAGAGACACATCCATGGAGTTCGTTCTGGGTGCCGAAGTAGTTGATGCCTGGGCCATGGCAGCTTGTCTCTCTGCTCTCCTTCTGTCCTACAAAATCGGGACGGGTGGAGGCTCGGCGTGTTGTGGGCACCCATCCCTCGAACCTGGAGACACTGCCTTGGACCTCTAAAACCTCGAAGGCTCGGCCCAGCTGCCGACCAGCAGACTCCTCCTCCGACCCGTCAAAGCCACCTGGCTCTGGCTTGGCGGGGCTGGCGCCCCGTCTACCCCGGGCCCTGGTGCCAGGGGCCTGGGCTTTTGGGGGCTCTCTCCGCAGCAGATCTGTGCCACACAGCGAAGGAGCTCCATGGCGATGAGGGTCTTCTCTGTAAGAGGGTTTGGCTGAAGAAACATCTCGCGATCGGTGCAGCTGTCGTACCACATAAATGCGGTTCTCCTACATGCAGCTATATGCAGCTACAAGCTGAAGCTCGTGCACTCAATGGCTACCCAAGCCAACATCACAATGCCATGGCTGTCAGCATCTTCACAACTACTCCGTCGTGAGCAGCACGTCTTACTTATTCTTACGGGCATACGGGCTCCACGCCGAGCGTAGTGGATGCAGTAAGACAGCAGCATGTGCTGCTGGAGCAGGTCGAACCTTGCCCAGGCAAGAGGACTTTCCTCCGGCCCAGCGCCCGTTGCATCCGCTACGCTTGGGTGTCGGCTCCAAGGCGTCCCTGGGATCCGCGCGACTGTACTCCTCATCTCCAAAGGCAATAGCAACGAAAGGAGCGGGGAATGACTTGTGGGGAACCAGGGCGGAGAGCTTCGAAAGGGGCTTTTGCGCCTGTGTGTGGTGACCTGGCATTGATCACCCCTCGGGGACCGACCAATCGAAAGCTGAAGCCGTGAACTTGCAACTCGAGAACTTCTCTCTCCGCACTTCAGTGTACGTACATGGGCATCCTTCACCACCAGTGGCCATCTAATTGTCCGCCGGACCCAAAAACACCGTTCCCAGCGAAGCCCAGCATTGGGCTAACACTGGAGGAAACTGCCGAATCCTGTTGTGAACCAGATTCTGCTTTCGATGTTCACCCAGTGCTGGTAGTTTCAAAGTGCAGACCTGAGCATGCAGCACAAATCTTCCTGAGCTCCTGACTCCGGTGGTCATATTGAAGAAGTAACGGTCCTGCGAAGCTCTTGTCTTGCAGTACTGATGGCCTCAGCTCCTGCGACTTCACAGCTACAGCGCGTACATCTGCAGCACCCCAACTGCAGGCGCCCTGTCCAGGTCGTCAAGGCTCTGCCTGGAGGAAAACTATCTTGAAAAACTTGCACACTAACGTCCGCTGTGGGCCCGAACCGCAAAGCCCCTACCACTTCCCATGTCTCCTTATTCTCAAACCTTGAAGTGAAAACAGGTCGGCCGGACACTGTGCGGTCCAGCCGCCGCCCTCACCATCTTGAGTTGCGTTTGATGCGAGGACGAGAAGCGGCCTCTTATGCTTGCTGTAGAATCTGTAGAACTTTCCAGTCAGTTCTTGCTGCAGGCCCACAAAAATCTCTGCCGTACCCGGGGTTTGGAGAGGTTCGGGTGTGTCGGCACATCAGTACAGAATGACGTCGAGCGCTACCTTGCAAACCAAGTCCCGCTCAAGGGCATAGCCCGGCCACGAACAGTACTGTACACGAAGTACAGCAACTCCCTCTGACATCAAAGCTCAACCTAAATTGAATGATGTCGGACACCTGCTTCAATGCAATGCGGCCCGCTCCACTGGGACAGCACCTGCACACCAGTCTGCAAGTCTTCAACTCAATGTCGTTGTGGCGGTGCTGTCCTTGTGTATACTGCATCCGCGAAACGGACAGATGTAGACGTGACAGAGCCACAGGGCCGCAAGAGAGCACAGAACAAATGTAGACAGATGAGCCGGAGACTAGAACTTAGAACACACCCCTCTCCATAAAACAATCAGAATGCACGCAGAGCTCTTGGCAAAGATTGGGCAAAGTAATTGGGTTTCTCACCGGCGCGGGGCGACCTGGCCTGCGCCGCTGCGGCCTGGGCCCTCTGGAGGTAGCTCCAGCTCCACCTGAGTCTGAGTGTGGGCGCGGTTTGCATGGTAAGCTCTCAAGGGAATCGGCGATCCTCCGTCTGAAGCGCAGGCAGTCTGATCTCCCAAGTGCAGCACCTGTAGACATCCTCTGCGGCTGCATCCGCAGGCCATGACCTCGAATCTATCTGACTGCTCGGAAAGCGACGGTGTATCGGCCCAATTCTCCGCAGCTCAGATGCCCACGAGACTTCGTCGATGATGTCCTTGTACCTCGAAGCAAAAGCATGCCAAACATCCAGCCCAAGCCTAATTTTAAAAGAAGACATGTAGCTGAATGGCAAGCCACGCTTGAAAAGCTTTACGTCGAGCTTGGTCTCCGACAGGGCTGCCTGCGGATGTGTCCAAGACCTGGAGCTGAGGCAGCTCGACTCCAAGGAGAGGGACATGGGAGTTTCCGAAAGTTAGGTGTATCTGATTTTGGGGTCCTTATGATAAGGATCTTACTCTTTAGGGTATTATATTAAAGTCTCCCATTTTTGGAAGCCCCCACATGTAAGGATCCCGACTCCGAGGATTCTTGAACACTTTCACAACCGGGCACTGCAACAGATCAGCTTGTTCACCAAGCATGCATGATGCGCCCACAGTCTTCCTAGGAAGCACTGGGGCGCAGTTTCAAGGAAGTCAACACAGTCAGCAAGGCTATCCGCTCAGCATGGCCGGAGCGGTCATGATCAGCAAAAACGGGCTTCAAGGTCCTCTTCATTGCCACGTCAAGTCCCGGTCCCGACCCGGGCTTGGTCACAAGGCCCCGACTGCATAGCAGCGGTAGCATCTTGCCCATGTTTCCCAGTGCGACAGAGCTCCAAGCCAGCACGGCCCGCGCAGACGGCTCTGGCTTCAGGCCATCCTCGTCGTGTCCGCCCGGTCCGCCCTGGCGACAGAATCGACGGGCCACGGCAGACCAGCGAGCGGAGGCGGCGGGAGCGGTGTGCTGGAAACCGAGCTGCTCCATCGCCGCAGATGTCAAGGGCCCAAGGCTGAAGCGTCGCTCGAGGACTCTCTCCGAGATAAAAGCACCGTCGCCTCTCCCCAAAGGCCGGAGGCTCAGGTTCCGCAGCTGAAGCAGAGCTGGCCAATAAACCTGGAACCGCAAGGATGCCAGCACTTGCGGCTGAAGGGCTCCGGCAAAGGCCATCAGCGCCTCAGCAGCAGCCAGCGGCTGGCTGAAGTCATGGCCGTCGAAGTGACGAAGCAGCTTCTGCAGCAGCTGGGAGGTCTGGTCCCGAAAAGCCACATGTGTCTGGTCAGCGGCATTCAGCACCTGCAAAGGTCGGTCCCACTTTGAAAGGGACCTATAACAAAAACACACACCCACCTCCACCAGCACCACCAAGGACGGTGCGCGTCCCTCCAGCAACTGCAAAGCCAAAGGCCAGGAAGCTGGGAAGTCGCCCAGAGCTCCCAGGAAAAGCTCGTTCGGCTGCACGGCCTGCTCTGCCATGTCCTGGGCTTCAGATCTCCTTTTCCGAACGTGAGGCAAAGCCTTTCGCATGCAAGTCCAGAGGAATAGTGTTGCATCCTAAGCATCAGCGCACAGCTGCACTGCCCCGCACCAGTGCGCACCAGGCAGGGAATCCACCATGGTCGTGAAGGATACCTTCGGCTCACATGTGCAACTGCTTTCAATCCGCTCCCTGCTTACGCGTTGAGCCTTTCAGGTCGAGTCGTGCGTGGAACCTGAAATCGCTTGCACTATTTTCCCCGCGAACACCCGACTGCTAAAGTAAACCGTTCCCGACTGCCTCGCCCCTTCGGCTTATTCTTGAACCTCTAGCTGGTCTTAATGGAGACATACAGGCAGGCAAAAAGCTGAATACGACAATCTCAACAAAAGCCTCACCCTGGCCAAGCCCTACATTATAGTACCTTATTATAGATCCCTTATAGTAATCCATACAGACCCCCTTTAAAGGAACCCTATACCGGCTGCCTGCCAAAGCAAACAGCCAAGTCTTCGCCCGAGCCGCGACGTCCCGCGGGCCCGGGGCCAAGGCGCGTTGCCAAAGAGCCGCCGCTGCGAAGGCGCTCCGGAGGCCTGGAGGAAAGTTTCTTGGGCACTTTTAGGGCTTAGGGTTTAGGGTTATATCTCCTTAAGATGGGTATTATAGTTAAACTACTTATACCTCCACTTATAACAACCCATGAAGCTCCAAGTGAAGGAAAGTTTCTTGGGCCGCTTTGGGTGCTCGGCTCTTCTCAGTGTCGGGGCTTAGGGTTTCGGCTCGAACGCTCGCACAAAGCAAGCAGGGTTTAGGATTTATGTCCGAGTCTCTATAATACATCTATCATGCTCATACATCATGTAACTATTTCTTATATACATCACATGCTATCTGTTTTATATAAATATGAAAGCATATCTACAGATATATTTATATTCATATATACATATTATATTTATTCAGTCTTCTGTTACAAAATAATAGGGTTTAGGTCCCAGTCGCTGTTGCAGCCGATGAGATCGGGCTCCCGGCCCTCGGCTCTCATCGAGGCGAGCAGCGAGGCGGCCTCCTCCCACCGCCAGCCCTGCCATTTATTATTGCTAGTATGGTTGTTGTCAGTGTTGTTATTGCTAGTATTGTTAGTGTGATTGCTATTATTGTTACTGCTACTGCTATTGTTGTTATTGCTATTGCTATCATTGTTATTCTGCTCCAGCAGACTCCAGGCTCTTCGCTCTCACAACTCGGACAAGCCAGACGAGGTCTTACAGGTTCTGTCGGACTACAGGGGGCAGCTCGAGTCAGGCCAGCGAACAACAAGACGACACAAGTTAAGGCCTCAAACTACACCCAAGTCGAGCCTCAAAGCGCAGGCAACAGTGTCGTACGACCGACCGAGACTAGGCCCATTCAGAATAGCCTTAACAAGGTGTGTCAAGAAACAATAAAACAGGTACGAAAAACGATGACGATAAGCTCAGAAACCTGGCTTTACGCTCTCGCAACTCGGACAAGCCAGACGCTTTAGGGTTTCGACTCGCACACTGGCACCGATTCATGAAGGATTTCGAGTTTGGGGTTCAGGCTTTAGGGTTTCGGCTTTAGGGCACAGGCTAGGGTTCAGGATAAAGGCCTGAGGTCTAGAGTTCTTGGCCCCTTGGGGTGGAGAGCTTCAGATATAGGGCTTCGGGTTTCGCCCACTCGCCGACAAGTGCGGCGAGGTTCTTGGTGCGTGGTCAAGAGGTGAGACCGAGGTACGAGTTTGATTGGCGACATTGCATATTACCAGGTATAGTCAGCCATACTCGAACGGCCCATGCTGGCCTTCTCGCACGCTGCCGCTGCCGCATTCACAGCCGGCACGGAGAGCGCCGTTCCGTCCTGGCTCGCGACGACCAGTTCTGTAACAGTCTGGCTCCTGACATCTCCTGGCCCATCTGGCCCCCTGGCCTTCTGCACTCCATGGAACAAGGATAGTGCCCTTCGCCAGCGCCGGGCACTTTCCATTGCGCCGACCGCAGCGGCTGCAGCAAACCTCCGCGCCCAAGCTTGTCCCAACTGGCGAATCTTTTTCGAACCATGAGAGCATTTGACACGAAGGAACACGTGAGACAGCTTGCAAATGCGTGTGAAATCCCCTCCCCTCTGCACCTGCCCGCCGGCACACGCAGCCTGGCCATGTCCTGCCTTGCTTCTCAAAGACTATGGGCCGCTTGTCAGTCGGGAGAAAGCTTTGGGAGCCCAATCAAACCTAAAAAAAGATGTTGTGCACCTGGCTTTGGAGATGGGCCAGGCGGATGGATCTATTAAAACCCATAAGACGCACCCTCTATCAAAGGGCACAGCTTGAAAGAGAACCAAATAAGACTGTGTTCCCGATGCCGCGACCAGAGCCCAAACCCGTCAAGAAGCTAAGCCTTGGACAGGGATCGTAGTTTACGCTGTGGGCCCAAGAAACAGAAACCTCGTTGCCCATCCGAGGTACAACAGTCCAAGCGCCCTCCACCACTGGCCACCGCGCTCACAAACAGACAAGGCAGAAACCTCGGATTCTGCGGCTGGGCACTGCTGACAGCAAGATGGCACACATTGCACATCGCGAACTCGAAGGCCCAGGACTGGTCTAGCACGATTAGCGACGCTCCTGTGGTACCTCCCGTCTTCAGGCCTTCCGCACTGGGCTAGGAACGAATGGTTCTTAGCTCTTAGCGCACCCGCCGCTTCAGGATTCCCTAACTTACGACATGGTGCAAAAGCCCGCTCGTCCGGCATCACCCGCCGTTTTCGAAGGGCCGGCAGCCAAGAGAGGGCCCAGTCGACCTTCGTCCAGAAAAGCGGCTGCTGACAAACAGCTGCTGTGTGCTCTATATACGACTAACTGACCATCTGCATCGTAGCATCTTCCTAAACCTTCATGCTGTGGCAGTGGCTCTTACAAACTGGCCAGCTGCTGATCATCAGTCGCACTACGAAATACTGTTACGCACTGTATCAGTAGTGGTCTTGTTGTTGTCATGACGGGTAGCCTTCTTGCTCCCAGTACTGCGGGATCATCGATACTGCAATGGCTGTGCTCTGCTCCGACAGACATGTCGTGGTACTGTGTTGAGTTCACGAACCATGGACTTACAGTGGGTCACTTACTGGTGATAGTATGCCGCTAGGGCAGCCGTTCCGGCAAGAGGGGTTTTAACAGTCTCAGTCGTGTTTAGTCCAGGACCTGCCAAGAGAGGCAAAATTTAGCGGACAAAATCCGCAGTCCGTCATGTTCACTAGGCTCAACTCGACACGATGTTTGCGGCACGCACTGCTGGAAAACTGAAACTACTCCTCTACATGCCTCGGGAACGGGCCTTGAACCATGCACCCGCAAGCTTTCTACTGGCCAGGATGCATCAGCTGCATCCTCTCCGCGAATCAGGATTAAGCTGCTAAGGCCGGCCAGCAACGGCCTCAGAATCGAGCGAACGGAACCTCGTGTCAGCTGGTCTACGGCTTAGAGTTTAGGGTTCAATCTTCTGGACGGGGAACGGGCCCTGAAGACGCTCGGCGAGAGTCGTGGCCAGCTGCCACTGCGCCTGGCCAGGTTACGGGCCCCTCGGGTCTATGCAGGTCTTAAGTCTTCAAGTATAACACCGATATTGGCTGTATGTTCGCAGACTCATGATCCAGCCCTCCGGAGCAGCAGTTGTCTTCCAACCCCCGAACCCCACTCTAGCCTAGGTCCAGATCTAGGTCAGTAGACGTCTGTAGATGTCTCCCACTCGGACTCTGTAAACGTACTGCCTCTGTTGGCAGATGACAATACAGGAAAAATCGTAATGTAAGGTCGATGTGTGGGCACATGTCCTGCAAACTTAGTTGGCATAGCACGCCGTAGTGTATGTGCGTTTCAAAACCTGAGTCTATCGGATGGTAGAGCTCTTGTAAATTTTCAGGTTGCCAGCAGATGGTCTGGATCAGGCAAGGCAACGATCTTTCTCACTCTCTCTCGAAATCAGAGGCTACAGGTGCAGTTCTTCTGTCATGCCTCGTGGGAAACTCGAAACAAACTCCACCACGTGAACTGCCATGGTTGCAAACCCCTCTTTTGCTGCAAGTACGTTCTCGGTCACCTATGTGACCGAAAGGTCCTCAAGCTTAAGCTGTGGCCATAGATGTCTGTAGTTTCCCAGCCTGTTTATGATCAGCAGAGCGCATTACTTGACCCCAAGCCCTGATAGAAGCTCGGTGCGGTCGCGCCTGCCGCGCCAAGCTCTGAACAGCGGCGCCCAGCACCTCACAAAGAGGGCAAGAATCAGGCTCTCCAAGATTAGTAGGCGACGTTTTCTGGAATTCGGGGTGCCTATAACTCTGACAAAATCTGGGGCCGCAGTATCCTGTGATGCCGGGCCTCGCAAGAGCCTGGGAAGAAACAGCCTCCAACAGGCAACGTCTAACACTGGGGGTGCATTGCATGCACTCTACTGCACATTCAACAGGCAGCAGACTACGACGAACATACTAAGATATGGGAATTTCCGAATATAGGGGACCCTAATATAGCTCCATAAAAGTAGGATCCTTATCATAAGGACCCCAGCATTTACCATATACCACAATGCGAGCTCAAGATCCACAGTATTTTAGCGTTCATCTACGCTGAGTCTTACGAATGCCTCGGCTGCAAGAAAGTGAAGCTCCTAAACATCGCTGTCGAACCCCTTACTAGACTCTAAACTCTATTCTAAACTCTAAAACGCCAGATCTCTCCCGAATCCTCGCCCGGGGCCTCCGAGGTGGCAACTCGGAGCCATTGGAAGTTTCGCAGGAGCCCCAGCACGAGCTCAGGACCTCCAAATGGACTTGGCTTCAAGGCTTCTGCTCCCACAACTCGGACTAGCAGATGAGGGCCTCGTGAAGAAGAAGCCGGTAAAGATCGGGCCAGCTTTTTTGGGGTTTAGGGACGTTTAGGGTTGAGCCTGCAACTTTGGACAGCCGTGGCTTCTGAACTTGATGTTGGGTTCATTGCAGTGGTGGTGCTTGGAGGAAAGTCCGGCGCAGTTCGGGGAGCCGGCATTTGGTGAAGGGCTACGTAGTTCTTCTTCTTGATTACAGTTCATGACATCCGTAGTAGGAGTAATAGTAGTCTTCCCAGAATTAGCTTCCGGTCGCAAACGGCTTCACTGCTTGCCGGAGCCTCCGCTGCACGAAGCCAGAAGAGATCGCGCCAGGCCCTCGTCCTAAAATCTGACCAGGCTGTTTTGAATCACAAGGCCAGGAAGAAAACAAGGCCTCATAACACAAGGATCTTTATTCAAGGCCTCCAAACTGATGTTGAAAAACTCCAGGCTCAGCACACCCCGGAAGCCACTTGTTTTCCTGAATCTCAAGAACTGTCGCCTTTCTCGGGAAGCTGAGCCGGGAGTCGGGTGCCAGGCGACCTTCCCAGAGCTGCGACACCACTGCCAGGCCAGCCTGCCACCTGCAGATCCAAAGGGCAGGGTGTGTGTGTGGGAGAGTTTCGGAGAACAAGGAACCGTCGGAGGGATCCATCAGAACCCTACTGTAACTAAACAGGCACCCCTCTTGAGATAGGCCGTAGGCTTTGTCAGCTTACTGAGAGAAACTGAGGGGCCACTCTGAGAGCAAGGGCCGCCTCTCTGAAAGTGCCGCGACGGCCCTGGTCAGCGCCACGACGTTGCAGCGGATCCCAGCGGATTGCATGGACGCAAGGAGACGGAGACTCTGTGACCAGTTGCAGAAGAGACCACTGTAGGTCACCACGTCCGGCTTCAGCTGCCGCTGTTGGGCCTCCGAAAGCCACGAGCAGCCAGCTTCCCAGAAGCCGGCCTGGCCCAAGGCGTTTCCCAAGATGTTCCCGGTGAGGGCACGCCGGCCCGGACGCTGGGTCTCCGTGGCGGACAGCACCCGGTGCCACTGATCCCCGCGAGCGCAGCAAGAGTGTGCAGAGTTCAGCAGTACAGGATCCACTTCCAGTTGTCTTGCCCGCACCTCTCCCAAAACCCGACAGTCTTGAGGGCTACAGCAAAAGCTTCTAAAGCTTCTTTCCCCCCACACTAGGAGCTGAGATCGGAAAATGCCGCACCTGCCCCAGGACGCCGAGGGCCCCGGACCAAGACGTGCAAGCGTCCATCGCAGCAGTGTAGCATGCCACGTCGGGCTGAGGCAGTCCGGGTCCCCTACCTCAGACTTTCCAGCGCTTTCGGCTTGAGGTGCCCTTCCCTTCTGCTCTGCAATGCACCCAAACAAAACCTGGCGCCCAGAATCAGACAGCCCTTGACAAGAAAACGAGGCCTTGTGGCTCAAAACCCACAGCGACTCCAGAACGCTTTACGACTACGACTCTCGCTACTATACGCCTTAGCACACTCTCTCATAATTGAGCAAATCAGGCTCGGCATTCTCATTCATTCTCAGAGTTGCCCTGGCTCTGCTCCATCTCGGCGATGAAGGCGATGGAGAGGGGCCAGGGCTCTTCACGTTTGAGGCTACCTGGCTATGCAGGGCAAAGACTCCCCCGCTTTCACTGCCAAGACTTGTGAACCGCCGACTCCGGTACGAAGGCCTAGACATGATCACTCCCCTTCCCTGTGTAGACAAGCTGCTCATCACGGTTCCGCAGGCCACGACGTCGAGCGCAAGTTCCCCCTCTCGGCCAGACCTGGACAGCACAAACGTCGCGAGTTTGCATCCATGCCCAAAAAAGCCCTCAAAAAGACGCAAGCAGCCTCCACACGCAGATGCGGATACTCCGTGACTCCTTCGTGCCCCCGAGCCCGGCCTCAGAAGCTGCAGCGTCTGCAGCCAGGAGCCTCCGCTCTCGCCTCGAGCGCATGGCGACAAGCACACCCACCCCGAGGCCCCCAACAGACCCAAAAAAAAAACTTTTTCCCCCCCTCCCTTGTTGTTCGCATCCGGCCGAACCCACAACCGCCATAACCTAACCTCTAAGCTCCCCTGCGACCCCCGTGCCGGGATGCACGCTCTCATCGCGGCGGAGCAGGCGATGACCGAGGGATCCAGGCGTGCGCCGCTCGGCAGATCGCGAAGCAGACAAAGCGCCCACGGCCACAGGGAGCGGCGTCCTCGTTGCGACGTCACCCCTTTGTTTGGAACAGATCTGTTCTGACCTCAGCTTTCTTCCTTGAGGCTCCTGAAGCCCGGATGGCCGAGGTCGCATCGCGGGGATCTGACAGCAGATGCCTTCGGGTCAGCTCCTCCAGCGTTTGCCTCAGAGGCGTCCGAAGCTGAGATTCGCCGACACTAAGAACCGCAGCGCAACAGGCTTCCAAGGATACCCCCATTGACAGACAACTCTTGTGGCCGCGAGCCATGTACAAGAAGAAGGCTGCTTGTCTTGGATGGCCGAGTGGCACGACCACCTCCGAGGACTCGCCTTCCAAGCGCTGGAGCAGCCGCCAGGGCCTCTTGGCCTTCTTCGGCATCTCTGACAAGCATACCTCAGGGATCTCAGGGTCAGGGAAAGCCCTCCACAGAGCTGAAACAAGCTGCTAGGACCAATCCGACTCCTGAACACTTCCTATCGCAGCTGCCTTCGCAAAATCGGCAGGTGCAGCGGATCGGTGGCCCAACCGAGACCAGTGGCCGAGACGGAATTGTCTTGCTAATGCTTCGATCCCTCTCAGATCAATGCGATCGAGCCTTCATGCAGCTGGCCCATCTGCTATGTGGCAATCTCGCATTGCTCTCTGAAGCAATGCTGGCCACCCATCGCGAACCCCACATTGACTTACGTGCAGTAGTCCATGTCATGCACTGCAACCGCACATGCAATTTCAGCCGCAGGCGTTTCTCCCGCAACGCCGTTGAAGAAGTAGATTTGCCTTGGCGGGGTGAGCACTGCAAGAGCTCGACGACGGCCGGTTCAGGATGAGCTCCCTGCCCCATGTAGCCCTCTTCCATTGACCTGCTTGGCATCTCAAAGTCCTATCTCCAGGTTCACAGACACCCGCCGGCAGACGGGGACTTAGGGGCTTGGATCAAAGACTCGGGCTCCGGCCATTGAGGGGGCAGGGGCAGCTCCAGCATGTGCTGCCTCTCCACAGAATCTTACCCGGACTCTTTTCAAGCTGAGCCATGCAGGCGATATGTTCCCTTACATTCCCTTGGCCCGCCAGCCGCAAGCTGATGGCACGCAACAGGTCCACGGGGCAAACTCTTCCGCACACAATTTCCGTTCAACGGTTTTGGCCAGGACATCACTGCAAGGTTCAATCAAGGTGGAAAGATTCGCGAGAAAAGAACTCAACACGAAATCCTGCACAGAATGGCATGCCAATTCAACAAGGTACACCAGTTCTCTTTTTTGACACTGGGCTTGCTGGCTGCCAGAATAAAAGTCAGCTCTCTGAAACTCCTTCCTCTTTGCAAGGAGACGTCCCTTGCTCGGAGAAATGTTTTGCTGGCGGTACCCTGGCGCCTCTGAGAACTGGAGGTCTTGTTTTTACTCTGAGATTCAGCTTACAATTTCGTGGTCAGCATAGTACGTATATATATATATATATATATATATATATATATATATATTATGTAATATATCAAAATGTACTAAAAAATATGTAGTTGTGCTTAGTCTGATTTGCAACTGTTCCAACTTTAATGGGAGTAGCAGGATGTACAGGTCTCGCCAGGTGGCAAGACACAATGAGCACGTGTTTGTGATCACGAGTCCTTGAATTCTTCTTGGGGAAGTCGCCCGGGGTGCCCATAGATTCGGGGATCACAGGGCGGAACCGTCGGTTTTGGGCGAAGGAGGTGTCAGTTTCAGTCGGATTCTTGCAGGCCTGGGCCTGAAGCTCACCATGGCGTGAGATCGACACTGAACATGAAACCGTCCGGGGGGCATGTTCCATGTTCCGAAACTCCGCCCCGATACTCAGCACTGGGCTCCAGGCGCTATAAGCCACAGCCTCGGCTCAGAGATAAAATTCTTAGGCTTAGTCAATCTTTTGCAAAGGCATCTCGTAGTTCTTCGGTTCCGATCTCGGCCGCGACCCCCTGGAATTGTTTACTTGTCACTGTTGGCCCCTCGCCCTCCCAAGACCCGAAACCGGACGCCACACACGCGAGGTGTCTGATTCCAAACCGTTATCACATGTCCTGAAACTCTTTTATGTCCTCCGGGAGCTCGGCAAAGTGTTGCTGCCCGGCTCTTGGCAGAGCCCCACTTGGTCGGCGAAGTCGGAAAACCTCGCGCGAAGCGTCACCGGTGCGTTGCTATGTGCGAGCTCGCGACACACTTGGACCACTGGGAAAACGGCACAGTCTGTGCAAAACTTGGCCGATTCCCCGAAGCTATACTAAAGCAGACAAGCGTGGATCGAGGCGGCTGCTTCAATCGTCGCGAAGCCTGCGGAGCCTGGACATTGAGGGTGGGAGTTCTGGAAAGCTCCGGGTTCAGGACTTTAGAATTCGGGGTGCGGTGGTTTCGGCGCTCACACTTGAGGCTGAGGGCTGCAAGAAAGCGGCATGCTGGAGAAGGCGAGGCTTCGCACCGTGTGTTTACACTGGCGGCTTCGCTGATCCCTTCCCCCCAAGAGTGGTCTTTCGCAGATATGCCTTGACTACTTCCGTCTCTCATCTCATCTCTCCTTCGCCCTGCGCTTATCTGAGGTGTGGAACTAAACGAAAGCATCGCTACAAGCAGCGCCTTCTCCGCGTCCACCTGAAGAGCAGACGTTCCCCAAAACCCTCCCTCGGTTCCGGAGGTCAGTGCCAGGCTCTTTCTCCGTGCAGGTGAGGCGGATGCACGCCAAGCTGAAAATCCGGGGGCAACACCCCGAGAGAGTGATTAAACTGCTGGTCGCCAGAAAATCGCTGCTGCAAGTGAGGCGAAGGAGGCTCCGGCATCTTCATTCACCCCCGAAAGCATCCAGAAAGCATGAAAAGCATCCTCATAGAAGCGGCCACAGATGCCATGGAGCCATGACATGGAAACCTTTCCAGGCCCAGGCGGCTGCGAATCGGAGCCCGGGCCACAGTGTCAACTACTTTGGCTAACGAAAACGACCCCCTCTGGGTAGGAACTTCTGACCAAACAACCGAACAGGGTGACGGTGACAGCGCGTGCAAGCTACTCGTCGCTCTGGTGTTCCTACCCAGAGAGAAGAGGTGCAGTGGAGCCTGCGTGGTTCTAGTTCACAAGCAGGGCGTTGTTTGCCCTGCGCTCCACGTCGTCGGCCAGGCGCAGCAGCACACGCCGCGCCAGTTGCCGGGCGAAGCGACCCGCAAAGGACGCGGCACCGGGAGTGATGGACCTGGGCGTCTGGGCGGCACAGCATGGCGGCCCTTAATTTATACAACCCTCAAGGAATGCACAAAAAATCACGGAACAGCGCCAGGGAACGGCAGCAGGCCCTGGGCAATGGGCTGCAGCCTCTGCAGGCTCCGCACCGTCTCGCCGAAGTCCGCGGCAGCCTCGTCGCTCTCGGCGGCTGGGCGGCGGCCAGCATCCACGAGCTCCGTGATGCGGCGGAGGACGAGCAGCGACTGCTTGTCTTCCCTGCTCAAGAGCTGCTGGTCGTCGGCGCCACCGAGCAGCAAGTTCAGGGGCAAGGCAAGAGGAAGCGCCAAGGGCCCCAGGGTTCGAAGCAGCCGCACCAGCGAGGCACGGGAGAGCGCATCGATGGCCGCCACACCCTCCTCGATCAGCAGGTCTTGCAGGAAGTTGCCATCTGGGGAGAAGACCACTTCTGCAATCTCCCTCGTGGCCGAATCGACCTGCCGAATTTTAGATGCTTAGCAGGCGTCCCTCGAACTGCTCTTGTCGAAACTGGGCAGGGCACACCACCCGGCCTCGCGCACCCGGCCGTTGCTCTGGCCGTTGCTCTGCTCATGGGTGCCATTTTTTTCGATTTGGATCCCTCCGGCCGCCGCAGATTCCGTCCGGCTCCCCTTCCTCGGTCAGGTGCAGCAAAAATCCGAGACTGAGAACTCATCCGGCCGGAAACGGTTCAGAGAGTCTCACATTTCACCCAACTGCTGGAAACCGCCCATGTTTCTCTGCGGCTTGTGCAAACGAGGCGCATCAGATTAGTGAAGTTGCCGAATCCGGTGGCAAGCTCGTCAATGCGCGACACGGCGATGCGAGATCGGCCCTTGTAGAGGTAGGACCTGCCCACACCCGGCTTTTGTGGCCCAGCACTGCACACAGAACTGAACGATTCTGTCCCAGTCTCCGCGAAGCAGGTTGTGTTCTGAACCCTGGAGTGCACGGCCGATGTGCCTCAAAGCTTCCCTCATTCGGAAGCTATCGTCGGTGATCAAGCGCCTGGCGATGTAGGGGAAGCACTCCTGCCAGGTCCACCAAATCCGTCAGCAAATCAACTCTGACCACACGCCTGAGGCCGTCCTAGACTCAGCCTAATCTGATGTTTCAAGACCGCGCAAAAGCGAACAACTCCCAGCCAATACCTCCCGCGGATGACACCTCAAACACGCCCAAAAATAGGCCCTTGAGAGCCCGTCACACATCCTTGACAATGGCGAAGTTCTCGTTGGTCTTCAATCCAAGACCTCCGGCGCAAACCCCAAGCTTGGTTTCGGCCTGTCCCGCCTGCCTTACACTCATGCCTTGCGCTGTAGATGTGGACATGCTGCTTACGTCGCCCCCCTCTGGGTGTGGTTGATTGTGGAGGCATAGCTATCGGAATACCGTATGGGATGAGGGGGGAGACTGCTGACCAGGTGCGTGCGGGTGTGAGTGTTTGCGCTCGGATGCATATGTGTATGTGTGTGTATGTATGTATGTATGTACGTATGTACATATGCATGTATGTGCGCGCATGTGCATATATATATATATATATATGTATATATGTATATATATATATATATGCATGAATGCATGTGTGGATGTATGCATATGTGTATGTGCGCATGTGTGTATATGTATGTGTATATGTTTCTGTCGAATATGGACTTACAAGTACATAGGTGCGCACATGTAAGGGAAAGTGTATGAATGCATCAATGCATGCATGAATGAATGAATGAATGAATGTGAATGTGAATGAATGAATAGCTAAATAAAGAAATCCACGAAATACATGCGCAAATGTACGGATGAATGCATGGATGATGGATGGAGGGATGGATGGATGGACGGATGGATGGATGGATGGAATGATGAGTGTAATTATGTATGTATGTGTATGCACATACGTATGTATCTATATATATATATATATATTTATTTATTTATTTATTTATTTACACACACACACCTCTGTGTGTGTGTGTGTGTGTGCATCTTGCGATAACACTCGACGATTTGGTAAGAAACTTTACTTACAGCTACACAACCGCGGCCTTCCTCGGGACAGCCATTGCTCCGGGTTTCTTAGGCTGTCCCCGCCTTCCAGGGTGCCGAAAGCTCGCAGGATCAGCGTGAAGTAGGGCGGCAACCGGAAAGCCCCGGAGTACTTCTTGCTGATGGTCTGCAACCTGGTGCTGGGCCAGGAGGCTTTCGAATCGCCCACACTGACTATGTTGCCATACCTTCTGCAAGAGTCGGAAAGAATGGTGCCAGCTCAAATGCGTTGCATGCAGTTCCGGCAAGGACTCTCCGTTGAAACGCACGCAACCTGTGTCCTGCTACGCTCATAGCTCCGGTCTGGCACTTTATGCTTTACACAAACACCTTCGAGCAAAGTCGTCAATAGATGCCCTGCTAACAAGGCACTTCTCCCGTAAGCCGTCCAACTTGCCAGCAGCTTTCATCTCTTCGCGCTGCTTCGCGAACATCTCCTATCGGCTCTGAAACCCGTGCTGATATAGCTTGATTCCGGAAACGAGAAGACGAAGGCAAATATGATGATCATGATGAGGATGCTTCTTCTGATGGTTCTGGTGCAGGTGTGGATGTGGGCGTGGGTGCCGGCGCGGCTGTTGGTGCTTGTCTGTCCGACTGTCTTCGGGCGAGTATAACAACTCGTGTGCTGCGTCCTGTTCCGAAGCATTGGAGCAGCATGATCCTCTAAACTGTCTGCCTTGAGCTGTTAGGAACAACAAAACCGCAGCATCGCACTCATCATCTTCGACACATTCAGACTCGCAGTGTTGCCGTCATAGGTTTGCTGTCACAGTTGGACTGTACCGGCTTTAGCTGCTCTGGCTGCTGTTACAACTACGACTTGCTGTGCCCCGGTGTCAATATGTCCACTTGCCTGCTGCGTGCGTTACCTTGCACATGGGTAGTATGATTGCAAAAAATGAGTCGACGTAAGACCGTTTTGGTCGGAGGGTGCACCCAAAACCCATCCCTTCTCCCAGCTTCTCCCGCTTCTTTTTGAGGTCGCCCCCCTCTTCGTAGAGTGTCGAAAGGGTGTTTGCCAAGGTCGGCACGATGATGTCCAAGGCTTCCTTGTCGCTCGCCAGGGCCTTAGGAACGACTTCTAAACCAGAACCGAAGCAAGCGAAGCAAGCCTGGCTGAGGGCTGTGGGTGGAAGCTCAGTGCCGGGCCGGCGGGAAGAACTCCAGGTTGATCCTGGGCTGCCCGATTCTAGATCTGGGACCACTCTCACTCTCCTAGGGCCATTTTCTTGGGGCCCAAGTTACCATAACGAAGCCCAGGCTCAAGTCGTTGAGACAGCTCTTGTACTCCTTCGCCTGCCTGGGAATCAAACGGTGCAGCAAAGATTGGACGGAAGGGCAGCTTTCGCAACAGTCTGCAAAACATCTTCGCTGCCCGAAACCTACAGCCACAAACATGGCAACGAATCGCAGCTGACACTCCCCAACCCCGAAACCCTTTTGCAAAGGCCGTGGCAGGTGCATCAAGAACTCGATGAAAGCGAGGCGTTTCTCTCCACTGATCTCGGTCATGAGGCCTCGACATCTGGCTTGCCAGCTTCTTGCGTTTCGTCCGCACAGCCGCACAGAGTCTGAACCCGACAGCCGGAAGCAACAAGGGTGCAAGACGCCAGTTGCTTTCAAGCAGCACATCACATGCCCCGTCCACGCTACAGTAAACAGTAAACCCCACCATTGCCCAAGGCCTTCCTCTCAAAACCCCGACACAAATCATCTCAAATCTCTGCGTCACTGATACCGCCGAGCCCTTTCATAAAAGCTTGCGGCCAAAGGGCCGTAGTCAAGGATCCCCAGCCGCCCATCCCCTGAGCCGAAGGGGCAGGCGAGTTCCGTCTTCGCTCTTAGGCATAGACCAGAGCTACGTGATGGATCCTCAGGATTTGAAGCTCCCACGGGCTCCAATATCCCTTAAAAGGAATATACGCTTAAATCATATCAGGGATCCTACAGTCCTAAAGTCCTAAGATGATTTAAGGGTATATTCCTTAATTAAGGGATATTGGAGTCTCCGGGCTTAAGAAGCCAACTTAGACTCCGCTTGGGGGCCACTGTGTTCTGCACCCTGAGACTCTCTGCCGGCCAGGACGCCCATGAGGATGAAGTTGCCTGGGTGAGGGTCTCCGTGAAGATACCTATGCGCAGGATCGTGCGGGCTTCCTTGACCAAAACGGTCAGCGCCACATCATCATCATCCGACGACCACTATGCTACTGCATCCGGCGACCACTACGCTACTGCAGCTGCTGCTGCTGCTGCTGCTGCCACTAAGTCACCCAGTTTCCAAGAACTGGACCATGTAGCTGTTCAGCAAAAGCCTCGGAGTCACGGCAGAGAAACACAGACTGCCCGAC